TTTTTATGCTATTAGTGCTTACTGTATAGTTAGTTGATGTTTTTCTTAGTTCACATCTTAGATCTTATTACAGTTTTTCTTAAACATTTTATTGTTGGATGTAACTGGGACCCTGTGTACATAATTTTGTGAATGACAATAAAGAATCTCTGACTCTGACTCTCTTGCTCAAGGGCTCAGAGTGGGGCAAATGAGGGTGGAGACAGGTGTAGGTGTTTCACCTTTTTCACACACATTTTGATGTTGTCAGTCCAGGGAGTCGAACCGGCGACCTTCCGATCACAGGCCCACCTTCTCTAACCTCTGTGCCACCACTCCCTATTATTGACAAAAATTCAGAAAAAACAAAACAAACAAAAAAAAATCTAACTATTCTTTTAACACAACTCATATGATCACTAGATTGACTTTAATTAGGAATGTAATTATGATAAACAATTAACTTTTCCTAAAGACGTAACTAAAGTTTGCTGATGGACCAACTAAAATTAGCATGCTAACCAGCTAACACCTAAGATGATATTTATTACAGATCAAGTGTCCTTCCTGTTTCTCACAAGTAATTGAAGTTAGCAGGATCCCATTTATGGGAGCTGCCATTTTACATTTTTGGAACCAGAGTTTGTGGACAGGTGTGAAGCATTAAGCTCCGCCTACTCCCCTATTATAATCATAGTGTCACATGACCTTTCTTTTAAGATTAAAACACCTATTTTTAACTAAATGTATTAAAAACAAAGAACACGTGAACATTAGGCATGTTGTGATAAACAATAAATCATTTAATTGCATGATAAATGAAAATTATTGACCTCATTTTCATTTATCGGCATTATCGTTTCTTCTCTTCTTTTCTCTCTCTTTGCTAAAAACAGCTGAGAAGCTAAGCTACGAGCTAAGCTAACAGGCAGACACCGGGAAAAAAATCTCCGTCTTGTTGAAGTCCCAAAATTCACAGTTGAAATATGTGCCTTCGTGTAAAAAGTTGTTTTTCTCTGCAAAAAAGGCGGCGAAAACTTGTTTACTGATTTTTTTCTTTAAAAGCTTTGTGTGAAAAATACTACACTAAAGAGCTCAAACCAAAACGAGCGTCCGCCATTTTGAGAACTGAAAACAAGGAAGGAGAGACAGCCGATGTCACGTTAAGGGGCCTCCCTCCCATTTTCTTAAAGAGACACGCTGCTCGCTCCCTCACTATCCATCCTTTGTTCAAACAGTCTTATACTGTCATCCGGTGGTCAAAAAAAGGTACTACACTCAAAACAAATTAACCAATATTTCTTCTTAAATTTGACAATAATTACTAATTATAGTCAAATTTCAAACAATATTATTGTTTATCGCAATAATTTCTGAGACAATTATCCAGCAAAATTTGTTATTGTGACAGGCCTAGTGAACATATTAGCAGTAAAGTAAGAACCAACAAAAGTCAACAACAAAAATCTGAGGTGTTTTGTTCTTAATTTCATTCAAAGCTACTGTATGTCCCATTATGAGGAGATGGTGGGACTAAGAACATTTACTGGAACCAGCCTGTATTGTTCTGGTCTCATCTGTCGTGTTCCAGTTAGAAGTACAGATGTATAGACTATAGCTAACACTAGCAGATAGTGTTGTGTAAGACCGCTTTGCACCCCAAGTCTGTATTATAAATCCTTAAAGCCTCTCATGTTCCCTCAGCCAGTCCTGCTGTTGGGAGATTACATCTCTGTAACAAACTTGAGGGATGGCATGAACAGAGTTTGCTCCGGTGTCCATGAACCACAGAAATCAAACAACACCCAGGGACAAAACAGAAAAACAAAATGAGCCATTACTGCAAATTATCAAGCGCAACATGCAACTATTTTTACAAATCACCCATTCAGCTATGTGGAAAAATGCATCTAAATGTGCTGGTGTTGTTAACTGGACTCCATAAGTTCAAAAGTACTGCAAATTAAACTTTACAGTTGTGCTAGAACTTTGTTTTACGTATTCTACTGAAAGTAATCCATCTTGTAATTCTTGATACGTTTCTTTTAACGGGTTAATTTATCTGTGTTTGTGATCTCAGCTTTTCAAACCTGAGAATCACAGACACGGCTTGCCTTGGCCTCTGTAGGAACATGTGCTTTCAGCGTCAGATCATTTTTAACGTGCAAGGAGCCAAAACCTACTTTTCTTTTTTGTTTGTAAAAACACAATTTTCATAAAGATCATGTTTTGGGGTAAAGCTGTAAACTTACAGCGTGCAACACCAGTGATCTTGCCCTCGGTGCACCAGCGGTGATAAAAGCCTGAAATCAAACGTTTACTGAACCAATTTAGTCTTGTATATTTTTTGAGGTATCGCCAAAGGACACAGCAGAACTTCCAGAGCCTCTGCTGCTTTCCTCACTTTGCAGACAAATGCAGCCCCACACACTCCTGCGCGCGCACACTCGTAGATGTGTACGTCAAAAGGCAGGGCTGCTAGTAGTAGTAAACATTCGAAAGGAACAGGGGTAATTCACTTGATAAATGTCAACCGAAATGAAGCTATCAGCTGAAAGCAATTTCCTTGTGCTTGCCTGTGTTCTGCGCCAGGGACTTGGGAGTTTTTTTGCCCCTCCATCGATCATGAAGCCTCTGTTTTAGGCCAAGGTACACAATGCCCTCAAATTGCTGACATATGGACCTAGAATCGCCACAAAAACCTGCCGTTTCCACCCCACCCTTCTCTGTTCCTCCTCTGCTAAACTCTTGTTTATCCAACGATTCTGGTCTGTTTAGACCATTAAAGCGCAGCCACAGACAGAGGCAGGACACGGTGACAAAGTCCTAAAGATACTTTCTGTATCCAAAGGATAGCGTGGCTGCAAACACCCCCAAGGAAATCACTGCTAAATCTGCAATGAAGCTATTCTATTACTATGAAGCTGTATTACTAATGTGTGAATGCTTATTAAGCATTCACACTATTGTGATCCTGTTTATATTTATTATTGGTGGTTACTATAGTCCTTCCGTACATTTAGCATCTTTCTCGTTCCACAATTTTTGTGCTATTTCAACAAATCATAAATCAAAACGTTCAGCTCTTTCAGGACAATCCTGCTGCAACTTTTGGTATTGGGGCATCTTTAGCCGTTTGAAATATTTAGCCTTTTCTGACATTTTTTTATCTAATAGAAAATGAATTGAGCTCATTTTACGTCCTTCAAATCTTTAGATCTGTTTATAACCTTTTACTGCTCCTTTCACATTTTGTTCCGGTTAAGCTTCTTAAAGCATCTTTGTGCAAAAAAAATAAATAAAATAAAATAAAATCATCTACTTTCAGCTAATTTCAGCTGTTTTCTCAGCTATTTGGTGCTCTTTTCTGTTTTGTTCTGCTAACTACAAAACATTTTTGTGCTATTTTTTTTAAAAAACTTTTTTCTGCTAATTTCAGCTCGTTATACTCCTTTTAGATAATTTCTGCAAGTTTCAGCTTTTTCTGCTACTTTAGCTACTATTTAGATGTTTTTATGCTAATTTGAACATTTTCAGCCTATTCCACGTTTTGTGCCCATTTAAACTTTTTTCAGCATAATTCAGCAAAAATGTACTCTCTGAACATCCTTCTGGTGATTTAAGCTTCTTTCTGCTATTTTAGCTACTGTTCAGCTGCTTTAATTTTGCTATTTTCCGCTTTTATCAACTAATTTTCACCTTTTTGTGCTAATTTCTGCTTCTTTAAGCTTAATTGGGCAAATTTTACTTTCCCCACTTCCTTCTGCTAATTTGAAATTCTTTCTGCTATTTTAGCTACTTTTCTACCATTTTTTGCTAATTTCAGCTTCTTTTTTTTTTAAAGATAATTTTTCACTTTTTCTACTCATTTCTGCTTCTTTGACCGTAATTGGGCATAATTGTGCTCTTTCCAGCTTCTTTCTGCTATTTTAGCTACTGTTAGCTGTTTTGTTGCAAATTTCTGAATTTTTCAAATAATTTCCACTTTTTTGTGCTCATTTCTGCTTCTTTAAGCTTAATTTAGCATATTTTCACTTTCTCCACTTCCTCCTGCTAATTTAAGCTTCTTTCTGCTATTTTAGCTACTTTTCTGCTGTTATTTTTGCTAATTTCAGTTTTTTCAGATAATCTTTCTCTTTTATTGCTCGTTTCTGCTTCTTTAAGCCTAATTGAGCACAACTGTGCTCTCTCCACATCCTTCTGGTAATTTAAGCTTCTTTCTGCTTTTTTGCTGCTAGCTGTTTTTTTTTTTAATTTCTGCTTTTTTCAGACATCTTCTGCTTTTTTGTGCTCATTTCTGCTTATTTAAACCATATTCAACAAATGTGTTCTTTCCGTTTTTTTCTGCTAACTTGGGCTTGTTCTTCCATTTCAGCATGTTTTTAGCTAATTTCAGCTGTTTTTCAGCAAGTTCTTCTGCAATAAGCATCCACACTGCATTTTCACTGGAAATGCAATTTCTCTAGTTTAATTCAATTCCAAGGATTCGGAAGGCATTGCAATAAAAATGTAATTAGTAGTTGCGAATTTGCAAGGCGGCAGTCATCAAATGACTTGTGTGGCTCTAAGCTCAAGTGTGTGGGGAGACTTAAAATAAAGTTTGTCTGACTTGGGGGTTGTCTTGTGACCAGTAGCGGACTGAGCAAAACAAATCTCGATAAAGACGATGACACCGACCACATAATGGCACGGAAGGCCTCAGGCTGGTGTAAACAGCAGACAGATGAAAGCAGAGCGGAGTACGTTTCTCTGGCCGACATTTCTTGTTGGTGACTTGGTTTCAACAACTACTTACGTTGAAAGACTTTGTTTAAAAATGAAGCTATTTAAAGACAAAGGAGGCCAGCATTAAAAGTCTTGTTTCCTAATGGATGATTGTGGTGCCAGCAGCCAGAGCCTACAGGTCTCTGCACAGGAAAAGTCCATTATCACTCCAACTAATGGAGCAAAGGGGGCAACTTCAAAACCAAACGTGAAGAAAAGAGAAAAGAAAACAAGAGAGAACAAGATGACGCACAAGCTTCAAAGCAGTGTTTCTTTAATGGAGTCCATCAATAATGTTACTTTCCTGACTTTACTGTGTTTAAAATAGAGTAGCTGTGTTATCAATCCTAGACATGGACTGAAATTAAAGCCCCCTTTTCCGCCTCAAGTGCATTTTTTAATAGACTTTGGAATCAATGCGAAACAAATGTTTGGCAACACGCTAATGGTGTCTGTTCAGATGACTTGGAAGTCTCTGTTTTGCCACCAAAAAAAACCCGCAGCCAGTTTACATTCGGACGGGTGCGCTCGCTTTGTATAAACAGACAAACCCTGTGGCGAGGGGTTTGATTAGGAGGAGGCCCACAAATCCCATTAAAAGTCCATCCGTCCCTTTTTTTCCACTGTTTGTTTGAAAACGGGAAGAGTAACAAGGGAGGAAGGAGGTGACAGGGAGTGTTGTCTTTGTTGTTTTTAGTTGTGCACTAAACGCAGCCGGACACAAATATCTCACTGCAGCGATGAGTACCAACAATGTGGTCTGGAAACAAAAGGTTTAGATTTGATGGGGGGGGGGGGGCAAAAATGGGTAAGAAGACCAAACAGTGTTTCTGCGTGCGAGTCAGAAAGTTTATTACTGACAAGATCCACTCACTGCCTGTTATTGTGAAACAGCATGATGCTGTTTGTTGGGTATATCTTCGATTTAATAATGAAATATCAAAGCGAAGACCTGCAAATCTGTTGTGTCAGCCTAACAACTCCTTGGTCTTGGCTGCAAGCTGTTTGTCGATGTCCGCTGTTACGTTGTCTGTCATCTGTTGAATCTAAGAAGGGGGAAAAAAAAATAAATTATTTGATAAGAAAAACCTGTTTGTCAAACTTAGAACAGGATTCATACCTGTTTTTCTATGAGCCGAAGAGTGTCTTCTGAGTGCCCCTCTTTAGCCTTTTTCACCTGGTTGACAGCATTCGAGCGCACTTTCCTCAGGGAGTCTTTAGCCTTGTTGCCGAACTGTTTGGCTAGCTTGGCGAGGTTCTCTCTGTGTTCTCGTGTCACTCTGCACAAAAAGGTGACACAAAAAGACATCTGTGTATTTGCAGGAAGAATTGGTGGAACCCATCTTAGTTACGTCATTCAGACTACAGTAGTCCCTCACTTATCGCGAGGGTTACATTCCAAACACCCCCGCGATAGGTGAAAATCTGTGAAGCAGGGGTGTTATTTTTATGTATCCATCCATCCATCCATTATATTTTACCCGCTTCTTCCATTTTGGGTCACGGGGGTTGCCGGTGCCCATGTCCAGCAATCAGGGGAAAAGGACAGGTCGCAGCAAGTCCATCACAGGGACACAGAGACAAATGAGACAAACAACCATTCACTCTCTCACTCACACCTAGGGACAATTTAGTGTTACCAATCAGTCAAACATGCATGTTTTTGGTCTGTGGGAGGAAACCGGAGTACCCGGAGAAAACCCACGCATGCACGGAGAGAACATGCAAACTCCACCCAGAAAGGCCCCCGGACCAGGATTTGAACCAGGAACCTGCCCGCTGAGAGGCAGCAGCTCTACCAGTTGCGCCACTGTGCTGCCCATATTTATTTTAGTATTATATATATAAATATACATATATATTTAAGGCTTTATAAACCCTTCTCACATTATTGCATGTTCTTAACAATGTTCTAAACTTTCTAAACGCTCTATAAGATCACAGAGAAAGAGAGCAAACAGACTGATGCTACGGTTACTGAGATAGGGGCGGGCTGGCCATCGGGAGCACCGGGACATTTCCCGCTGGCCTGGCCCACTCAGTGATCGCCAAAGGGGAACTAAAGGCTTGGTTCGGGTTGCGTTTAATTATTTTAAATAAATAATCCATGCCACTCGTGCGGCTCACTCAGGCATAAGACAGACACACACACACCCTTTCTTTTTCCAAGGCTGTCTTATCTGTTGTGTCTCTGGGACACAATGGGGAAAGACAGACCCCACCATGCCCTCTCCTCTCTCTGGCTCTGCTGTGACAGCCTCGGAAAGAGAAAGGAGGGGGCGGGGTCTGTAATATACCTGAGTGAGCTGCACTCAGCCGTACTCAGCCACTCTCTCTCTCTCTCTCTCTTAAACTGATTCACTCCTATTTTTCCATCTAAGCATTTTCTCCAATATTCTAAATTTGTTAATCTGATCTGTTCTTCCCTGCTCCCTGAGCAGAAGCGATGGGAAAAGACAGACCCCTTTCTCAGGCTGTGTGTCACAGCAGAGTAAGAGAAAGGAGGGGGCGGAGATGGGGTCTGTCTTTCCCCATCGCCTCTGATGTGACAGCCTCAGAAAGAGAAAGGATGGGGCGGGGGTGTGGTCTGTCTTTCCCCATTGACAATTGTGTGCCGTGTACAAGCTTACTTCAAAAACTCACAAAAGATTTGGTCTGCAAAAATCAAACCGCGAAGCATTGAAGGACTACTCTATTTTGTTTTCACTGTGTCTTAGGATCCACGCTTTTACTTTTGAAAAAGTTTAAATTAAAAATCTAGTTCAGCATTCAAAGCTAAATTAAAACAAACCGGAGAAATTGAAATGTCTGTAGCTTTTTATTTTTGAATATCACTTATTTATCCATGCTTTATTCTTTTAAAGTGACACAGTCACAGTCAGACCTACGAGCATTTCAGGAACTTAACATGCAAGTGTCTGGACTGTGGGAGGAATACAGAGCAAACTCGCTAAAGCTCAGGAAGAACATCAGGCTTCACACCGAGAAACTAGCTGAGAAAAGGACATCTTTTTCCTGTGAAGTAAATCACTGTTCAATGTTGACTTCCTAAAATCTGTCAAAATGGCACATCTTACTTTTGACTTGCTGCTTTTTTTAACAGCAACAGAAACAATTTATGTCTTACCTGGTGGAGATAGCACTGAGCAGCCTCAGTTTCGAGGAACAGAGTTCAGTTTTGAATAATGAGATAAGGGCTAGTTCAAACAAAGTGGTCTGCTGCCATCCTAAAATATTTGCAATCTTGAACATTTCAAGTATTTTATTCAAACTCTATTTTATAAACATGGCTGCCAATTTAGCAGTTAGTTTTACACAGAATTTTTATTCACTGCTGTTTGCAATATGCGCTCAAGCTAGCTGTAGCATGTCCAGTGCAGCCAGGGATATGTCAGGAATACCAAAGTTTTTCCGCTGAATTAACTACGTAATGACAAATTATTTGAGGTTTATAAAGAATTATTTGCACAAATCTATAATACATTCTTGAGACTGTACTTGTGTTAAGATGACAACTACCATACTCACTCTGGCCTTGGCTGCGCTCTGACTTGCTGTTAACCGTTAACCCAGTTCAAATTTTACTATTTTTTTCAAATAATGTAAAGAACTATCTAGAACAGATGAGATAAGCAGATCCAAGATGGCCGCGCTCAGCCAAGCCGCAGCTTCACAGGCTCCCAGTGATCTCAGTTTGTTTTTGTTCCTGTTGTTTCTGTTTTAACCTTTTTTTGTGCCTACATTGCACATCCACAATACAGGTATGACCGTGACACACTTGTGGAGTTTTCTGTGTCTCTACCTTGCCGTCGTGCCATCGTGGTTCGGTTCTTCCAGCCTCAGGCTCAGGCCTGTCATGGCGGCTGTCTTCATGATCCTCCATCTGCCTGCACGGACCAAACTCTACGGACCTGTTAGGTTCCGCGGGGAAACCTGGATGTTCTCCGTCTGCACGGTTCTGGAGGGCAGTCTGGGAGGCAGCTGATGCAGTCCTTATTATCATCATGCTGCTGAAGGGATCTGCTAACAAGACCTGCTAACGCTGCTAACAACACCAGGCCGCTAACAGTACCATGGTGCCAATGGGACCATGTTGCTAAGAGAAACCTCATTGCTAACTGACCCTCACTGCTAACGGTATCATGCTGCTAACTGGACCATGTTGCTAAGATAACCTCACTGTCATCAGAACCACTTTGTCAATAGGACCATGCTGCTGTAGATTTATTTATTTTTCACATTTGGCGCCTTGTTTCTGTATTTTTGTTGCATGCTTTGAATAAATCCTAGTTTATGTTAGTTTAGTTTATGTTAGTGCTCGCATTAAACGTGTAAATTATAGCTGAACAGAACCTATGAGAATCGTGCTGCTGTTGTTCGTTGTATTGTTTTGCATTATTAGTGACTGGCCTATATCTTAGATCTTTTAGCCTACCGTTTAGAGTATATCTCAGTTTATATCTCAGATCCTTATTTACAATTTTGCACTTTATATTTTTGCTATTGTTTGATGTAACTGGGACGCTGTGTACACAATTTTGTTCCACTACATGTACCACATGCGATGCGAATGATAATAAAGAACCTTGAATCCTTGAATAACAATTGCTGCATTCCATAGAACCCCGCTTGTAATTTTTTAGACAAGAAGAGTGAAAACAATAGCTTAGCTTGATTAAAGGTAGTAGATTACTGATAAAGACTAGCTGGGAACTAAAAATTGCAAAAAAATGAGAAAAACAAATTCCATTTCAGTCTCAGAATTCTGATTGTCTCTGACTAAACCAGTGTTTTTTTCTTAAATCCCAGTTTGGGAAACTGTATTCTAGGCTGGTGCGGTCACAGCCATCTATATTAAATTAAGCATGTACAGGTAAGTACAAAGTAAGTATTTAACTGCAAAACTGATTCTATTTCAGGAAGGTGCCTCTAAAGTAAGCACAGCTTTATTAGATTTTTGTATGATAAGGAAAATCCAGAGTGAACCTAAAACAAGAGATGAACAAAATGACGTCCGAACGTGCAAAAAGTTATTCTTTGTCAACGTGAAACTGGTTCGGATGCACAGAATCCAACAACACTCTTATCGCCCAGAGTAGAAAAATGTTGTCATCCCAACAAGTTTGCATCCACTTTTCATTTGTTTTTCAGCAAACAAGTCCCACTTCTCATTTCAACCCCCCCACCCCCCTTTTTTTGCTCTTAATTGGCTTTTTCGCTTTGTTTTTACTGCGGGAACAATTTGCAAACAATCCAAGTGCTGCGTCTATTTACTGCAAACAATACGGCCTAATTACCGATTCCAGGGCCAATCAAGGAGCGCCCTCTCTTTGCAAATGCAAATGGAGGCTCGGAGCGTGCCGAGACTGATTGCAGGGGGAAAGCAGTCTGACTCTTGTGTCCCTCCTCTGCCAGACTAACACCTGCTGCTCCGCACACACAAAATCACACATGCGCATAAACAGAGAGTGGCAGAAATGCACGTAGACTCACGTTGTGTATATGTAAAAAGAAGAAAAAAAAACACTCTTTATACACAGAGAGTGGCTTGTTGAGTGAGTGACGGATTGTTTTGTGTGAGGTTGTTTGATTTGGACGAAAGACAAAGAGAACGGGTGAGACAGATTTACTCAGAATGAGGAAAAAGAGACTGACCCGACACACATCAACACTGTGAGGGTCTCTATAACTTTATGAGAAAAGTCAATAAACTTGTCAGTTACAGTAAAACTCAAATCACACAAACCTAAAACTATGAGTGAGATTTACTGTGACTCTTTGCTATGGTAATTTATGTAATGGGCTGAATAATTATTGCTTGCAGCCAAAAGAGGGTGATAATGTTTTTACGCATATCAGTGTGAGTCTGTCTGTTACCAAAATATCTTTTTATATATATATATATATATATATATATATATAAATAATAACTTTTATTTATAATGCACTTTACATTCACAATGAATCTCAAAGTGCTACAATGAGTGAACATCAGATAACATCAGGATAAAATCAACCATAAAATCAACCATAAAAGCAACCATAAAAGCAACCGAGAGAAGGAACAACCAGGAGGATAACACCTCAGAATGATCACATCAAAAACTGAAAATGCACAAAATGCAGATTAAAATACTCAAATAAGAACTATGGGTGAAAAAAAAAAAAAAAAAAAATTTTTTTACCTTTAAGTATTTGGAGTCAACTCTGTCCATTAGGTACCGTACTTGTTGCTGTACAAGTTGCATCTTTTTGCATAAATTAGCATGCCTTGCAACTTATACAATGAAGTGACTTATTTATTCATCCCCCCCCCCCCTAATTATAACCCAATTTTTGGCTGAGATCTGACAATTTAATTCATTCTGACATGGAAAATATTGAACACTACCATTTTCAGCCACTAGAGAGCGTTTGAGTAATACGGCAAGCCAAGTGTCTCATTAATAGGTAAAAGTGGCTATTAATGAGACACTTGGCTTGCCATAACAAGCCACCTTCATCTCGCTCAGGAACTCCTGGAGCAAACGTCAAATCAGCTGCATTTCACCACCGCCCAGATGAAATGCAGCTGATTCGGACGTGACCATTAAAGTGCATTTATTAAGTAAAATTTCAACTGAGAAACACCTTTACTATAATTCGAGCAAACAAGTAATTGTTTTTAAGTGTTAATCTTGTTAAATGTCAACAAAATGAACGAGTCCTTCCTCTGCGTGCTACCTCGAATTGATTTTTGAAATACAGCTGATTTGACTCACAAAGTGCATTTATTAAAGAAAAGTTGAACTGAGACACACCTTTGCTATAATTTCGAGCAAACAAATAATTGTTTTTAAGTGTTAATCTTGTTAAATTCTTGTTAAAGTCCTCCCGTGCACGCTCGCGCCATTTGGCAGCCAATCAATTTTTGGCACAACACCGGCCTATGTTTCTGGGTGTTCAGCGGTGACGCATAACAAACGCAACACGTCAGAGGCGATGCATAAAAGAAGCGACTTATTTATGTTTTTCCCCCCACTTTATTAGACATGTTTGGACTGATGCGACTTATACGATGGTGCGACGTGTACGGCAGAAAGTACGCCAATTACCTCCTGAACCACTGGATAGATTTTATTGAAACTTGCAGGAAATAGTCTCTGGATGCACATTCACAATAGATTAACTTTTGGAGCCAACCAAAAGATGCGCACCACAGACAACACATTTTAGAAAACACAAGCATAGCTATAAATCTGTCAATTTTGCAGATATGATGCTAAAATTTTATTTGGTAGTAGTCAGTTACAACATATACTTTAACCATAGTATCTGCAATACTGTGTAAACACAATGTTTAATTTTAAGGTTTGACCAAAATGGCTATAACATAATTTCTTCTAAGTATAACTATTTTAGTTTAAAACGCTGACATCAAGGCGGCAGGTGATATGTACGGTGGCCCTAAGGTGTAAATGAACAACATTTGAAAAAAACGGAACTACATTTGTTTATCAAATGTTGTTGTGATTTTTTTAGTTTTTGTTGTGTTTTTTCAAATGCAATTCCGTTTTTTCCAAATGTTGTTAATTTACACCTTAGGGCCACCGTAGATATGCAATCCTTCCAGGAATGCTAATAAGCCTTTTATTTATAGACTTTTTAGAGTTAGGACACCTTAAAATGGCTTGCCTATTTTAGTATTTGAGTAATCAGAACATCAAATTGTCCCTCAACTAGCAGAAGCTAAAGCTAAATATAAGAAGTGAGAAAAAATTGAGGAAGAAAAAAAAACAGAGTATGATGGAAATGAGAGAAAGTGCTAAATGGAGGAAAGATTTTTTTTTACTGGCCTCGGGCGTATTTGCGCGCCAGAGAGAGAACTCACTTGGGAACAGGCACCTTGATGATGGTCCCGTCCACCTCTGGGTTTAGGTCCATGCTGGTCTCTCTCAGGGCATGGGCGGCCGCCGCTGTGGCCTGGGGGCAGGAGTGAACACAAACACAGAGAAAAATACGATTAGAGCGATGGTGTGAATGGAAAAGTAGAGCTGCAACTGCAGGTAGTGACTTAGCTCCAGCTGGCAACCATTAAAGTGGTCTGTACATGTGTGTGTGTGTTTGTGTGCTTGGGTGTGTGCGTGTGTGAGGAGAATCCCATGCAGCGTGGAAGAGCCTTGGGCCACTGTCAGCGCTCGGCCTCGTGGGACACGACTGAGAGGTTGCAGGGCAGAAAGTTGACCCCTGACAGCCCCAAAGGAGAGTCTTCTTGTGCTTGTGTTTGATACGTGAACACACAAACATGTGTTTCACTTTGTTTATACTCGGTTATTAATTTCCAGAGAGGTGGAAAATGTGAAAAGTGTTTTTTCTTTTAATTTCACAGAGAATTAATAGAAACACTTCACGCACTGAGGTCAGATTTTGCGCAAGATCTCAAAACGGTCGTCAACCCATTCAGTTGTTTCTTGGCTTCATGTTACAGATTTAAATGTTACTACTATGTAACAGAATATAGATATACATATTTATAAGGCTTATAACAAATATAAAAAAAAAAGAAGATTAACATAAGGTTAAAGCAATTGTTGATTAATTGTTTGGATTTTTTTGCACAGTACTCACTGCATTAGTCCTGTATTTTATTAGCATTTATAGACCTGGTTCTTATAAATGTACTTTTTAATGGATATTTTCTGTTATGTACTGTAGTATTTTATTTGACAAAGTTTTAGATGTACAGGACTTTAATAAATTTATCACAGGTTGGCTTTAATGTGGGTATATATACGTAAGAGGGTTTGAATAATTTAGTTAAATTTTATTTGATGTTTTAAATTTGTATTTTTCCATCCATCCATCCATCCATCCATCCATCCACAAATTAAGACTGAGCTTTAAATATTAAAAAAAAACTCAATCTGAGTTGAACGTGTTAGGTAATAAAGCATCTGTCAGAAAATCCAATCATGTTGTTCCTCTGCAAATATACAAGGTGGTATATTTGTACTACACCTTGGATCTGTTGTACTAAAGCCTCTCATGCTTGTAATCAAATTACATCTGTAACCTTTCCCTGAAGTCTTACAAGTGCAAGTAGCTGTCCGTTTCTTCTGCTCGTCTCCGATGCATCTTTTATTAACAGGAAATCGATGCAGATACATTTATAGATGACATGTTTAGTCTGTCTGGCTACAGATTTTTAGCTGCATTTAAACACTCACAGAAAGGCTCAGGTGATTCTTCTGAGCCACCGTAGGTTTAAAAACAAAACACCTTACATGGACCTTTGGAAATTATTTGTTGTCTTGGTTTAATTTAATAATCAGTATGCTTTAAAAAAAATGCAACTTCTATACTACAACTTAAAATAAAAGTTTTAAGTGATATATGTCAACTTTGGTGAAAATTGAAGTTTAGTTTAATCTCTTGGACTTTAAACGTAAAAATAAAAGTTTTTTCCAATAACGTCTACAAGAAAAAAAAAATATCTTCACATTATCTGTCAAATAAAACTACACTAGATCAAATATCAGAGAAGTAACTTATTTGTGCTCTACACTAGGCCTGTCATGATAACAAATTTTGCTGGGCGATTAATTGTCTCAGAAATTATTGCGATAAACGATAATATTGTTTGAAATTTGACATTAATTAGTAATTATTGTCAAATTTAAGAAGAAATGTTGGTTATTTTTTGTGTGTAGTACATTTCTTGACCACTGGATGGCAGTATAAGACTGAACTGTAGGATGGATAGTGAGGGGGTGAGCAGCGTGTCTCTTTAAGAAAAATGGGAGGGAGGCCCTTTGACATGACATGGGCGGTCTTCTAGTTCCTGTCTTTTGGTTCTCAGAATGGCAGACGCTCGGTGCGGTTTGAGCTCTTTAGCATTTGTCACACAAACCTTTTAATTAAAAAATCAGTAAACAAGTTCTCAGCTTCTTTTTGCAGAGAAAAACTACTTTTAAGACGAAGGCACGGGTTTCAACTGTGAATTTTTGGAGCTTTGACAAGACGGAGGATTTTTTCCCCGAGGTTAGCCTGTTAGCTTAACTCGTAGCTTAGCTTCTCAGCTTAGCTGCTTTTAATGACCCAAAAACGTGATTTTGAACAGTTAAAACAGATTTTAAAGAGAAAACAGAAGGGAGGAGTCAGTGAAGAGCACCGGAGTTGAGCCTTTTGTCCTCCAGTGTCTTCAGTAGAAAGAGAGAGACACAAAGAAACGATAAATCCAATAAAGGAAAATGAAGTCGATAATTGTCAGTTATCAAGCGATTAATTGATTTACTGTTTACCGCGACAGGCCTAGTCTATACTCAGACAGAACTTACAAACTATTTCAGTGCAGTTGTTTTAATTCATGCAAAATTACAAGCGTTTAAATTTAAAAAAAAATATACAAGTTGAATATTAAAACAAAGCTGCACAGCTGGAAGACATTATCCACAACTTTCAACACACGCCGCGTTAAAACCAAAACGCTCCAGTTAAGATGTGCACAATAAGAAAGGTAATTTTTCAGCTGCATGATAATTCCCTCAGCTGACCTTTTGAAAGTGTAAAGCAAAGAAACCCAAGCCTCACAATTTCCTCCTTTTTTCACCCCTCTCCGTGCTACTCTCCATTTTGACAGCTCCTTCTCGACGTTTGCACCGAGGGAAAAGTTATGGCAGCGAGATTAAAGGAATATATTGGTGCGCATTAAATAAATTCATGAGGTTTCCATTTCTTTTGTTAAAACCATCCGGAAAGCGGGCGTCCGGTTGCTCTCTTTTGAGTGTGGGGTGATAGATTCATCCCATGCCTATGTTTGATTGTTCTCAGCATCAAATTCATCACCGTTTCCCCTCTTTCTCTCCCTCGCTCTCTGTCTTCGATGACCACTGGAACAATTACTAAACCCCGAGTGGAATCTCAGAATAAAAAAAAAAAGATCTGGCAGGTTTCTGGCTAATTGTGCCGAAGTTTCACATCAAACGCTCACGGCTTTTCTTTGAACAAGCAAAAGGAGAGGAATGTGTGTAAGCGTCTGTTGAACAGTGTTTCGATACCACACACATGCGCTCAGGGTGGGACATGATTTCAGCCTCACTGTGTCTTCCCAGGCTGCTCTTAATGAATGAGCAGAAAACAACGGTAGGGCCCGGTAATGGATAGGTGTCATTAGAAGCCGATTAGCTCTGGTGCTGCCGACTCACCTCTGGTTGGGTAACACGGGTTCTGACAGGGTGGCGTGTGAAAGCCAGAGTGTGCCTGTCAGTGCATGTGTGGTCTCTAGCTGATGGCAAAGACCAAAAAAAAAAAAAAAAACCTCAACGAAGAAACGTTTGGCCACATTCTGGTAAAAAAATAAAAATAAAAAGATTAAATTTTTCGATAAGTACTTAGATTTGTTTCTTGTTTCGTGACATGGTTTCACCTGGAGGACAAAAAAAATAAAAGCATGAAACCACCGCCTTCAGGTGAATGGAAAAGAAAACGGAAAGTGTGGAAGATATTTAAGAAACCTGTTTTTGTTTTGACATCTCATCAGATCTGGTTATTCCCGCACAAAAAAATTCCTTACAGAAACTCCCATCTGTGCAGACATGATGGTAAACACCAGAATAAGTGACACGATTCATGAATCAGGACTTTTACTGATGCCCAGATGTTTTCATCTCACTATGTTTAATCTAGTTTGTTCTGTTGTAGAGATAACCCATTATCTCCTGTGTCTGAGCCCTTTTTTTGACATCTCTCTAGGACATGGAGACAAATTATAATGTTTTCAAAATATAAGAAATAAATGGATGAAAAAAAAACATGTTACAAAGTAGGGATACACGATATTATCAGCATGGTATCGGTATCGACCGATATTAGCGATAAATTTAAATATCGGACATTGACCATTCCATCAAAATAACTCTCCGATATAAAAGGCGCTGTTTATATATATATATATATATATATATATATATATAAATACATATAAAGGCGCTGTTTTTGTATGACAACCCAGTGACAAGGATGTCTGCAGCACCTGTAAGTTATGACGTTACGCGCGCTGTTGGGTTTAGATTTGTGAAAATTTAATAATTTGCACTGTTCAAGTGATGTTATTGTGTTAAGAGAGTAAATGTCATGAATAAATTTGACGTTAAACATAATCCAAGTCGAAGTGTTATATCATTTTCAGCCCCCCTTTTGCCATCTGCATTTGGTAGCAGGCAAAATGGACAAAGACCATGCAGAATAATGTAGCATTTTAATTCCACAGCAGAGAAAGCTGTGTAGTCTCTGTAAGTAGGTCTAGGGGAAAAATATCAGTTATCGGCCAAATAATTTTTAACATATCGGCATATCAGTCAAAACTCCAATATTGTGCATCCCTATTTCAAAGCCTTAAAGCAGTCACAATGATTGTGCATGACAACAGGCTTCCTTAAATCTTCAGTGTAAAACAGTTAAATTGTAAAGACTTGACAAATTTTCAGTCTTTAATGCCTTTTTCCATTTATTTTTGAGTTTATTATTTTAATCATAAAATGTATAATGAATAAACATTTGATTTTTATTTTTTTTGTCCTTAATGAAGTTTCAGTTTTTCTGTAATCTTATTTTTGCACTTAAAACTACTTTTTTAAAATTCTAAATCAACACGGTACTAATGTGTGTGGTGCATAAATGTAAAAAGAAATAAAAGGAGTTATCTTGACACGATTTCTCTTTGAGTTTTCTTTATATCTGTTTTGTATCAGACTTTTATTTTAGTTTATTTTGGACGTGTCGTGTCTCCTGTTGCATTTCTTCATCCTGATGGTGTTTTGCTCCTCTGGACCTCCACAGAAGAAGCAGAACTTTGGAAAACATGCTGCACGCTGATGAAAGAAGAGGGCAGCTGGCATCATTCATTACTGCTTTTTCTCAGAAGTTCAGCTCCTACAAGTTTGAACTTTCTGCGTTATTTTCTTCAAAGTTCCAGCTAAAATTTGCAGAAATGAAAAGACATTAAGGTTTTGTACCGCAACACACAACCTCTAAATGTTGTTTGGATATTAATATGTGCACTACCACTGACCTCAAGGATTTCTAACATTAATAACGCACACTGTCATAGAATCATTTTATCCGTTTTATTGTTTCACAGTGGCACAGCAATCAAAACAAACCATTTGGATTTGAACTTTGCAACCAGCTCCAGACAGAAAACAGAGATAATCTCTGGATATTTGATGAAGTTAAGTTGTGTTAAATGTAAACACGGACATCAAAGACTCAAAATCTGCTAAGCAAAAAAAAAAAAAGGAGAAATAAAATGAAAAATAATCCATTTCGTCCTGGCCTCGGGGTAAGATGAGGTCATTTCCTATCTGTGACAACTCACACGGAGACACCACCACACCGCGGCTCATACACACACTTCGTTGCTATCTTTCACCCCAGAACAAAGGCCTCCATGAGTGATCAATCAATTAGCATCAGAGGCGCAGGTCAGGTTTCATTTACTCAGACTGATGTGGGGTTCCAGTTCTGCTCTGGCTCAACTTTTCCTTCTGCGAGAACCATCTATCTGTCTGTGCTTTGGCTTATTTTTACAAAGCTTATTTATCCAGTGCATGTCCCTATGAGGCAAACAGATACAGGTAGGAAGGAGCTGCGCTGGCGTGTGTGTGTGTGTGTGAGAGATCGTCTTACTTCAGGGAAGCTGCCCATGTTGATCATAATGAGTTGAGGTGACTTCATAGAGATCTGACCCAGATGGTTAAGGGGGTACTTCCCATCTGGAGTCGTCACCACAATGTGATCAAAAGCCCCTAAACGAACACAGATCAGGAGAGGTGTTTATTTATTTATTAACCACCACCAAAAAAAAATAAAAAATCATTATTGTTATGATTTACAGAAAATTATGTCCGTTAGAGGGATTAAACTGTGACAAAATTATTTAGTTTCACTTGTTTTTTTTGTCTGTTTAAATCAATGTCAAACTGGGAAATATTCGTTTTTTGCTTATATTAATCTACAATAGTGAGGATAAATTAGCAGCCCTAATTCATTTATCATTTATTTCCATTTTGGTACTCCTTTAATGGAGGTCTTGATCAGTAGTTTTCAGGCTTTCTGAAGGTATTTTAAAGTTTTTTGGACTTTGGCTGCTTTTTCACTCATTTTCGTTTCGGTTCATGTACCAGTACAGCTTATTATGTAGTTAAAAAATAAAACAAGTGGAGGACAAACATTTAGAGCAGATAACGAGTAGCTGTCTTTCAGAAAAAGCAAACAATCCAGCAAAGACCTGACAGAACCTGAGAGATCTTTAGTTTGTCAAGTTTTCAGCTAATAATGCCACAAATTGGTTAAATTCTTTTACTTGTTTTTGTTTGTCATACTGTCATATTTTTAGTGGTTTTCATAGATTTATTTAAAAATATGGTAATAAATTGTATCTTTGTGGCAGAAGGCATGTAATAAAAAGTCTAAAGAGCCATTTAGAAATAAGTTATTTGCTAAAGTGTGTGTTTTGTGTCGTACAACTCGGGTTCATCCGTTGAGTGCAGAAGCTCTTTTATGCCTGAATGATTTAAAGGTGAAACTTAAACCACTTAACAAAAAGACTAAAATAACAGTCCTCTGAAAAGATTTACGCACTGGACAGAAAATGAACGGAAAAACAGCCCAAGCCATAAGAGGCTGAAAAATGCTTTGATGAACCATCTGAAAGTCTGGAGAAATTTTGATTAGGATCATTTTTAATAAATTACAAGAAAGTCTGACTCACTGGAGCAAAAAGCAGAAGATGAGATCCCACAGAGCTGATGGTTTTCTGTTGTTTCTGTATTTTAGAGAAGCTTTATATTGTTCTTTTATTGTTTTTTATAATTGATTGATTTTATACTTCTGTGATGGACTTGCGACCCGTCCAGGGTGTACCCCGCCCCTCGCACAGTGATTTCTGGACATGGGCACCAGCGACCCCCGTGACCCAAAATGGAATAAGCGGGTAAAGATAATGGATGGATGGATGGATTTTATACTTCTTAACTTGTGTTTGACTGAAATGTAAAGCACTTTGTTTTTTTTTTGATAGGCTAAATATCGTATTCTTTGGACTATAAGGCTTAAAATCCTTTAATTTTCTCAAAAATTGACAGTGACCCTTATAATCCGGTGCACCTCATGTATTAATCCTGGTTGTACTGACTGACCTCGAACCGATTTTATGTGGTACAACTGAACAATGTTGAGAGTTATTGTGAATGAGTTGAATAAAGTTTGACTTATCTGACTGTTTAGTTTCACTTAATATGCCTTATAATCAGGTGCGCCTTATAGTCCGAAAAACACGGTATGTATTTTTATGTGCTATAAAAACACAAGTGACATTGACATTTGCACAGAACTGCATGCTCAGAAATGAAAATATTCATGTTTCAAATTCCCAAATCCAATATTGGTCCATCCATTTGGTTTCTTAGCAGAAATTAAATTGCTAGATAGATTAACATATTTTTCGCCGTACATGTCACATCTGTCCAAATATGTCTAATAAAGTGGAAAATACATAAATACGTTGCTTTGCTTTATACGTCACATCTAGTATGCATCACCGCTGACCACCTGGAAACGTGGGCCGGTGTTGTGCCAAAAACTGATTGGCTGCCAAATAGCGGCTGCGGGAGCACGAACGAGAGGACTTTAACAAGAATTTAAAAAGATTAACGCTTGAAAACAATTATTTGTTTGCTCGAAATTATATCAAAGGTGTGTCTCAGTTCAACTTTTCCTTAATAAACGCACTTTGATGGTCAAATCAGCTGCATTTCAAAAGCCGATACGTGGAAGCGGGAGGGCGCAGAGGGCGATTCGCTGTGCATTTCTTTGAAATTTAACAAGATTAACACTTAAAAACAATTCTTTGTTTGCTCGACATTATAGCAAAGTTGTGTTTCAGTTGAACTTTTATTTAATAAATGCACTTCAATGGTCAAATTAGCTGCATTTTGCCAGGGCGGCACAGTAAACCGAAGCTGATTTGATGGCTCCTCCAGGCGAGCTGGACGAAGGTGGCAGGCTATGGCAAGCCAGTTGTGTCATTAATAGCCACTTTTACCTATTACATGACACAACAGCATGCCATACTACTTGACTGCCATCTAGTGGCTGAAAATGGTAGTGTTCAATATTTTCAATGTCAGAATGAATGAAAACAATAATATCTTGGCCAAAAATTGGTTTATATATATGGGAAAAAAAAAACATAAATAAGTCTCTTTGGTGTATAACCATATGCAAATTATGCAACAACAACAAAAAAGTGACCTATAGGCCGAAAAATACAGTAAATAGAGTAGATGGATGGATAGATAGACAGAGAGATAAATAAGACAAAAGTTTTTCTGATCTTTTGTCTCTCCTCAATGTCGACTCGAGCCGACTTCTGTCCCACCCTCTCCTCTCCTTCTGTTGCTCCATCCGTCTCCATCCCTCTCCTCCATCTGGCTAACCTCAGACGCAGTTGTTTCCTTCTTCTCCACCTCTGCCTTACATCATCCCCTCCCTGCTTTTACCCCTTGGGGGGGCTGCCATGGTGCTGTGTGTGGAAAAGTGAGGTGATGGGGAGGTGAGCCAGGGGTGTAATTTTCTCAAAAAGATCAATTTATCATCTGATTTCAAAGGCGTAATATCAAGACGTAACAATCAGAGATTCAACGCAGATGTAAAGCGTTTGAAATGAACGGATGAAGAGTTGAATCGCACGATTACACGGACTTTACCTTTAACTTCAGACATCCGTTTGTCCGATTGTCAGAGGTCAAAGGTTAAGCCCTTATTTGCGACCCCTGACATGTCTGTCTGTGTTACTTGTGTCGAAACAACAAGCACACAGATCTGCTTCAGGAGAGCAGATCAAGACGAATATAAGTGAGGAAACATTTGCTTACATCATTAATCTGCTTAAATTTTATTCTCATTTTGACTTCATCTTGTGTTATTTAAGACATTACGAGTTGAAAGTCCTGTGTTAGATTTACTGCAGGAAATCTTTGATCAAAGCGGGTTCCTTTAATCAAATCTCATGTTTTCCATTAAATATAAAAGGCTTGATTTGGAATAACAACAAAACGCTTTAAAGAAATGCACATCAAAACCTGTTCATATTTTAGGATGGATCATTTCTACTCAGACTGCATAAAACATTTTGTTTCTTTTTAATCAAATAAATTCTTCAAAATTCTGACATTCCTTTAAGCTCCTGCAGATGGAAAAACGTTTGTTTGATAGGGGCTTATAATAATCTTTAGATTTGCCTAAAAGGTCTGTAAAATGCAAGATAAACACCGCTCATACAGAACATTTGACTCTCTACATATTCTCATTATTACACAGGAAAAATTCAGCACCTCGCAAATTGTTTTATAATAATAATAATAATTTTATTTAAAAAGCACCTTTCAGGACACTTTACAGCAAGTAACATATCAGATAAGATTGTGTAAAAACAAAGTGCAAAGACCAACAGCAATAAATTGAAACATAAAATACATAAAGTAAATACATAAAACAAAGTGAAGGATAAGCGAGTCTAAAGAGATGTGTTTTCAGAGTAGTCTTGAACAAAGAAAGAGAGGTGGTGTTTCGTAGGTCTGGGGGTAGGGAGTTCCAGAAGTGAGGGACAGAGCAGGTGAAGGCCCTGCTCCCCATGGTGGAGAGGCGGGCACAGGGTACATGGAGGTGTAGCGAAGAGGAGGATCTGACAGACCAAGAGGGGATGGAGATGTGTAGGAGGTCAGATAGGTACGGAGGGGCAAGGTTGTGGATAGCTTTGAAAGTGAGAAGAATTTTGAAGACGATGCGTGATTTAACCGGGAGCCAGTGGAGCTGCTGCAGGACAGGAGTGATGTGGTTATAGGAGGAGGTTTGAGTGATGACACGGGCAGCTGAGTTCTGGACCATCTGTAGCTTCTGATGAGATTTGTTGGGGAGGCCATAAAGAAGGGAGTTGCAGTAGTCAATCCGGGAAGTCACAAGACTGTGAACAAGGATGGCAGTGGAGTGGGGTGTGAGAGAAGGATGGGGACGGTTAATATTTCGGAGATGGAGGCACACCAAGTTACACTGTTGATGTGTGAAGTGAAGGAGAAAGTGGTGTCGAGGATGACACCGAGACGCTTGACCTGAGGCGAGGAGGATAACAGAGCGTTATTAATGGGGATGAGAAGATGTTCTGATTTTGAAATAGAGTTTGTGGTACCGACAAGGATGATTTCTGTTTTGTTACTGTTTAGTTGAAGGAAATTGTTAGACAACCAGTGATTGAGCTCACTGAGACAGTCGGTGAGGATGGAGGATGGATGAGTGGAGTTTGGTTTGGTTGACAAGTAGAGCTGTGTGTCATCAGCATAACAGTGGAAAATGGACACCATATTTGCAGAAGATGTGACTTAGAGGAAGGAGGTAAATGAAGAAGAGGAGGGGTCCGAGGACAAAGCCTTGGGGCACACCCGTGGAATACTGAGAATGGAAGGATTTAAGCTGAATGACTTGAGTGCGGTCAGAGAGAGAAGATTTGAACCAGTCTAACGGAGTACCTGAGATGCCAATGGAGGTTAGTCTGTTGAGGAGGATAGAATGACAGATCGTGTCGAAGGCAGAACTTAGGACAAATAGAATGAGGATGGACAGAAGACCAGAATCAGCAACAAGAAGAAGGTCATTATTAATTTTTATTAGAGCTGTTTCAGTACTATGTTGGGGCAAAAACCAGATTGAAACTCTTCATAAACATTGTTGGACAGGTGAGAGTGAAGTTGACAAGCAACAACTTTTTCAAGAACTTTGGAAATGAAGGGCCGATTAGAGATCGGACAAAGATTACTGAAGTTGGTAGAGTCAAGACCTGGTTTCTTGATGATGGAGGTGATGGCAGCAGTTTTATGCCAGAAAACTGGATTCCATCATTATTTTATTTAGCTGCTAATATACTGATCGTGCCAATTGCTACTTTTTAGCTCATATGTAGCTCATATGTAGACAAAAAAACAAATATATCAGAGAACTTCTTCTGTGACATCTGCTGCCCTTCAGATGAGCTCAGTCATTTGAGACAAAAATTAAGTTTTCTCAGCTCTGAGGGATTTCTGTGAAGCTGCACCAGATTTCAAACAACAAAGTCCCCCGCCGGTCTACATGAGCCACATTATAACAAACACAATAAAAGGAGAATGTTAACTATTGATGAAGAGGTGGCCTCATTTTAATCTGTGAAGAGATGCACTCTTTAAGTTGAGCCAACATCTCCAGCTACACAAACTGGATTTAAGATTTAAAAAATGGCCTCCATGTTCTTTGTTTACATAGAAACAGAACCGTATTGCTTTTATTTGATGAGCACAGTATGGGAGAAATGTCACTGATCCCCCCGGACACACCCCTCGCTGTATCCATGTGACTTCCTGCTGTATGTTTGACGCACACAAACAAGTTTGGATTCATGGCAACACACAGCACACACGCACGCTCATAGGTTTAATGAGAGCCAGATGAGAGGCTTATGAAACAAACGTTCAGTTGTATGAGAGACACTCATTCTGACGTCATCCCATTCCTCCATCTCATCTCTGCTGTCAGCTCCAAGTCCGGCTGCCTCCTCGGATCAGCGCGCAGCTGGACGGAGGAGAGCAGTGAGCAGAGAGGCAGGAAGGATGACAGAACGGAGGGATGGAGCTACAATGGATGACTAAGACAGAGGCAGTGAAGCAGGAACCTTTACAGGTTAAAGGAACCGTTTGTTTGTTGTAAGTGGCACTGTGTGAAGTACTTATGAGCGGTTTGTTTGCAGGAGACAGTTTGAAGCATGGAGAATTTAGGACAAGCCAAGTTGATACAATCAAAACAAAGATGCCAAAACTAACCCAACATGTCAGCGAGGTTCAAAGCAAATCAGCAACACAATGGATTTTTACAACGTACCACTTAACATCAGATGGTATTTAACCTGAACTCATATAACACCTAATGCATCACAAGGACTTATCGTTGTGTAGAAGACGCACAATAAGATGTTCACATGGATATTTGTTAGGGTTAGGTTGCTATATATATTTCAAATAAAAATATGCTGACTTCTGTGTACGGCTGATTATTTAAATAATATGAACAACGCTATTCAAAACGAGAAAAAAAAAGCCTTTAATTGTGTTTAATAGAAAAGTTTGATTCAAGCTGACTGATAAATGGAGACAAAATTATTACAGCTAGAGAAATTGCATTTCCTGCAAAAATGCAGTGTGAATGCTTATTGCTGAAAACAGCTGAAATTAGCAATAAACTTGCTGAAAAGCTGATCTGGAAGAACAAGCCTAAAGTAGAAGAAACTATAAAGAACAAATATTTGTTGAATTACGTTTAAACAAGTCGAAATGAGCACAAACATTAGGAAATCAGCTGAAAAAAGCTGAAATTGGCACACAAGAATAGCTGAAAAATAGCCGAAAAGGCAGAAAGAAGCTTAACCTATCAGAAGGACGTGGAAAGAGCTGAAATGAGCTACAAAATATGCAATTAGCTGAAAAAGCTTATAAAATGCATTAAAAAAACAGCTAAATAGTAGCTGAAATCGCAGAAAAAAAAATGAAACTAACAGAAAAAAGCTGAAAGGAGCATAAGCTGAAACTAGAAGAAAAGTTAATTAGGCTGAAAGTAGCAGAAATTACCACAAAAATATATATATATATATTTGAAAACAGCTTAAATTAACTAAAAATGCTAATAAAAAGGAAGCTGAAAAGGTAGAACAAGCTAAAATTAGCAGAAGAAAGCAGAAAGAGCACGTTTGCCCAGTTAGGCTGAGAAAAGCAGAAATGAGCACGAAAAATGGAAATTATCTGAAAACAGCTGAAATGAGCAAAAACACAGTTGAAAGGTAGCTAAAACAGCACAAAGAAGCTTAAATTACAAGAAAGAAGTCGAGAAAGCACAATTTTGCTGAATAAGGCTGAAATTTTTTTGAATGAGTGCAAAAAATGTAGAATTATCTGAAAAAGATAAGATTAGCATAAACAGTTAAATAGTAGCTGAAATAGCAGGAAAAAGTCCAAATTTGCATAAATAAGCTGAAAGGAGAATAACAAGCTGAACTTAGCAGAAAGAAGTTAGAAGAAGCACAAAAATGTTGTAGTTAGCAGAAAGAATCTGAAAGGAGCACAAAACAGCTGAAAAAACAGCTAAAAGTTTGCATCCTTCTCCAGAATCAGCTGAACGTTTTGATTTATGATTTGTTGAAATAGCACAAACGTTGTGGAATGAGAAAGACGCTGAAAAATGTACGGAAGAAAAGTGGATCGCAATAGTGTGAATGCTTCGTAAGTGTTGGTTAAATTTGAGCTTCAGCTGCTGTTGACTGCTTTTTTTTTTTTTTTTTTTGTAAAGAAAACGTAGAACAGAGTGAAACCAACTCCAGTTTGATGTGCGATTCTGGCCGCAGCCTCGTCCTTTGGGAGCTTCCATTAAACAGTCCACCTCTGACTCTCAGAGCTCTGCTCCGATGCTTTAGAACCCAGAAACTAAAGGTCACGGCCTGGATGTAGTTGGAGAAACAAAGGCCAGGGTGGGGTCAATGGAACACCACACATGGATCCCCTCACATTAAGTCCTCAAGTGCTTTGAGAGGAAGTTCAAAACTCAAAGACAGAGACTTCCATAAAGTAAAAAAAGTCTCATGAATCAATTTAAACGGGACAGATTAACACATAAATGAAAACAAAATAAGCTACTCGTGAATTATTTGAATCCTAATAAGACAAAGGCGGCTTATTATCTAAAGATAAAACTTTAATTATTTGGAACTCTTTTGGGTGATTCTTACTAAGGATCTCCTTTAGTCCTTGTTGCTGCGAGTCTGATTTACAGTTTGTTTCTCCACTGAGAATGACTTCCTGACTGCACAAAGTCACACATGTCCCCATTTTCTCTACTTTTCAAGGTCATGACTTTCAAATAAAGTTCATCAGCTGTCGGTGTTGTTTTAGGCTTGTCAATACTTCTTTCAATTTGTCCTGGTTTCTCTTAAAGAACTTCCTTGAGCGGCTTTCTTTAAGGGTCAAATCTTCTGCCTCCATTTCATTTCATCCCCATTCCCTGTCACTCCGACCCTCCAAATACTCCTTCACTCATGCAGCTTCTCTGTAATCAAATATTTAGTTTTTAAAGGAACATTACATATATCCATCCTTTTATTATTTTTAATCGCTTCTTCCTTTCCAAGTTGCAACTTGTTAATTATTTTTCTAGCTAGTAGCGCTTTAGAAATAACCCATTTGACTCCAAAAATACAATTTATGTCCATAAAATTGTTATTATTGGCATTTTTTAATCATTTCAACAACAGAAATGTGAACAAGTTGTTTGATTTTTTCGAATGAGGCAGTCGGTAACAAAAAGACTTAAGAAAGTATACATTTTCTGTAGAGACGACTTTTGTTTTATGTCTTGAATTGAGTCTTTTTAAAGCTTGTTTTTAGTTCTTAGGTTGGGTTAACTGAATTACCGGGATGAAAAACAAAACTGAAATTAGTTTTCACGGGACTGAAAATGAATGATAACGAAGCCAACGTCTAACAACAAAAAGAAAACTTTTGCAAAATTAGAATAATGTTGTGCTCTTCCTTTATACAAAATACTGAGGTAAAGCTCAACACATTTAAACAGAACAGTCTGTACACATCTACCAGCTTTGTGTACAGCTAATTTTCAATGTAGAAACGTTATTTTAAATTCCAGATTAAAGGTCAATGCCATGTATGCTTTACCTCATCAATAAATGCAGTGTTTAGCACTAAAAAGAAAAAAATAAAGTGTTAAAGATGGTCACTACCTAGTGAGGTTCGGATGCTGAGGCTACGTGTGAACTCATTTTTGAGCGCAGTAAGAACAGCGTTCATGTCCTCCTTCACTGCATCCAGACTGATGATGTCTTCCACCGCAGTTGAATTAATGTTCAACTTCACTGACTGGCCCTTTGCCTTTACTTGGATGAAAAAAAAGAGGAGAAAATGAGACCTGTATAAGTCAATCAGCAAACACATTTGCGCCAGTGCAGAAGATTCAGTTCCAGTGCTGCCTTCACTGACCTTTTGCTTTCTTGGTGGCGTAGAGCCTGATGCATGCAGCAGCAGCAGAGGGGTGCTGGGAGCTGCCAGGACAAAGAGACGGTCTACCTCGGACCCTCGAGGCGACTGTGAGGGGGCACCTGGCATGTCGCACCAGGGACTGACACAGCAGAGGTCGCACCACGCTTAAATGATTCAGCGCCATATCTGCTAACAAGACGGTGAGTGAGTTTATATGAAGGATGCTGTTAAAAGAACACAAACGCACAAGAGTCATCCAGAAATCAGCTGCCACCTTATTAAAATGAGGTAATAGCTCAGCTCTGCCAGTAGGAGGTACAATATCATTAGCTCATCTTTTTGCAGTATCAGACATAGAATGTTATTTTAGACCAAATAAACTACATTCACAAAAGGTATTATTATCTAATTCAGCTCATACAGGAAAGTCATAATATCCTACAGACAGGTGCTGAAAATTAAGCCCTTCGTCCACAACAATTTCATTACATAGCTCCATCGTCATGTAATTATTTATTAATTTAAAAAACGGTTTTATAAAATAAAGTGCTGACAAATTCAAAACATCTGATCATTTTCTCTAAAAGGTTTGCAGCATTTGTATTGTGTAACAATATTGTCCACATTAAGACAAAAAAAACAAAGTCAAACAGCTCCAAATCAAAGTCCATCCATTATCGTTTACCCGCTTCTTCCATTTTGGGTCACGGGGGTCGCCCGTGCCCAGGTCCGGCAATCACTGTGCGAGGGGCGGGGTACACCCTGGACAGGTCGCAAGTCCATCACAGGGCCATCCAAATCTAAGCGTTTCTATATCTATATCTATATCTATGTATGTATAAAGATGCTGAATAATAAAAGTTTTGGTGAAACATTTTAAAACAAAAAGCCCAATTAACAATTTGTCACCATTTAATAAGCTTTATATTTCCTAAATTAACTGAAAGGCTGTTTTTTCTGCTAAAAAGGCCAACAAGTCAATTATTTTAAAATTCCACGAGGCAAAGACGATTAGAAAAAACACACAATTTCTAAACTAGATAATGTTTGACATTTTCCCCCCACTAAACGAACAAATGATAAATCTGAAACGTGGTTAGTTCTGTTTTCTGTGATAGTCTGTCAAAAACAAGTGTGTCACACATGAGTGGTGCTGTAAAGCTTTGTGCAAACAGCGGCTGTGACACTCGCTGCTTTCGGCCCACGCACGGTTGTTCGGGCATTCCTGAGTGGGTACCTCCCATAAAAAAATACAACAATATCACTCCATGCCTTGCTTCTCTGGAGAAGAAACAAACCCCTGCTTGTAATTTTTTTCTCTCCTGACGGTGAACCGTGCAGCCGACCTTCAGGTGTACACAAACAAAATCATCTTTGCAGGATTTAATATTTACCCACTGAAGTCTGTCTGTCACAGTTAGTGGCTGTGAACAGATTCTGGTGAGCGGTTCCCTCACTGCCATCACTTACCGTTTGAGGAGGAGTTAAGATTTGTATATATGAAGATAAAAATATCATCCTGTTGTGTTGAAATAATTCAGATTACAAAAAATGTTTAGCCATGTATTTAAAGTTTGGGGATTTTTCCCTAGAAGTTATTATTTAACTAAGGAAAACACAATTTGGTCACTAAGTGACTAAAAGCTCTTAAACCTGAAGGATCCAATACGATTCATAGTCATCTAATGGCGTTTTCTTTTTCTGAAGAAAAAAGTTCGAACATACTTTTGAGACATCAAGGCTAATAAAAATGACACTGCACGCAATTTATAGAAATCAAATATTGGTATATTTCAGAAAGTTGTCCAGGTGGTGCAGCTTTGTTCACAGTAAACAATCATGAGTCCAGACTCTCCATAAAAAAATGCACGATGCGTCATCAAGACTACTCAAAAAAACAAAAGGTTTAATTGAAATTTAAATATAAATATGGTTTAAAAACTGATTTTTAAACATCTGCTGTTTTATTTTTTATCCAACCACCAATATAACCCACTAACCTCAGATAAAATATAGCTAAAGTAACAATTTAAAATCTTTGTTTACCAAATCAAGATTCTTTCTGTTAATTGGCCAAAATCTTACAGGATTACATTGGCAATATTTAGGCTACAGTTTGGACACCGCCTCCAATAAAAACTCATAACAGGCAGCCACGGCTGGGAGGTTTCCTGCCGAGCTGATACGATTCGCCACACTGTGGCGGAGTTGACGGGCAGAGATGTGGGAAGGTGACAGATCTCTTTAGAGAGGAAATCGAGCAGACAAAGTGAAGCACAGGTGTTCAGTGGGATACTGTATTCTCATATCCTGTAGACTTTTCACAAACAGCTGCAGACACACCTCTGCTTCTTCCAGCAGCGGGAGCCAGCTGCTCGGCCCGCATGCTCCCTCTGTTTGCTTTAGAAAAGAACACTGAAGAGTATCTGATGATGCTCTGCCTCCTCAAACAAACTCATCGCAGGGAGGGTGAAATTTACAAGCTAATACAATTCCAGAGGAAAAGGGAAAAACTGACGATTTTGCTTCTTTAAAGTGACATCATATGCTTTTTTCTGTTTTTTTTTGTCCAATTCAAAACAAAGACATGATTATAGTTACTGTATTTTCTGCCATACTCGTCGCACCGCCCTATAAGTCGCATCAGTCCAAACATGTCTAAAAAAGTGGAAAAATCTCTAACTATGTCGCTTCGCCATATACGTCGCATTTATTACGCATCACCGCTGACAACCCGGAAACGTGGGCCGGTGTTGTGCCAAAAATCGATTGGCTGCCAAATGGCGGCCGCGGGAGCATGCACAGGAGGACTTTAACAAGATTTTAATAAGATTAACACTTAAAAACAAATATTTGTTTGCTCAAAATTATAGTAAAGGTGTGTCTCAGTCGAATGTTTGCTTAATAAAAGGACTTTAATGGTCAAATCAAATGTATTTGCTGCCTCAGTGCTCCGGGAGCGCACAGAGGAAGTAAAAAAAAGAAGGAGGAACGCTGCTCGTTTCTTCAAAATTTAACAAGAAAAGCACATAAAACATTTATTTGTTTGCTTGAAATTATAGCAAAGGTGTGTCTCAGTTGAACATTTAATTAATAAATGCACTTTAATGGTCAAATTAGCTACATTTCTCCGGGGCAGGGCAGCTGGTTTGACTTGCTCCAAGCAGTGAGCAGAACAAAGGTGGGGGTACTATGGCAAGTCGGTTGTGTCATTAATAGCTGGTGAAGATTCTCAGTCATCCAAGACATGGTAAATTCAAAAAAGTTTAAGACAAAAACAATAAAGTATATAAAGTCCAGTTGTTTTTGTCTTGAACTTTTTTGAATTTGTAATTATAGCTACGTTTACCTATTACATGATACAATGGCATACCTTAATACTACCAGTACTACTATGCTGCCATCTAGTGGCTGAAAATGGTACTGTTCTTTTTTTTTTTTCCAGTCAGAATGAATGAAAACAGTCATATCCCAGCCAAAATTTGGTTAATAAATATGGAGAAAAATCCATAAATACATCACTTGGGCCTATAAGCAACAGGGCATGCAAATGATGAAAAACAAAAAAACACCCGCGACATATAGGCCAAAAAATACAGTATTATCTTTGGACAACAAAGCAAAAACAACAAAATAAAAAACCTCAGTTAAAAAAACTGATTGATTGAGTGAGCTAATTATTAAATTTTTTCTGCAAGCTAATTTAGATCATTATAAACACACTCACTGGACCTTGTGCATTTTTTTATCCGAGCTGAGCAAAAAAAATGTGTAAATTGTAACCAGCAGCGTGATTAAAAAATACCCCATTTGTTCCCTGTTGTAGCTGACTTTATGAAAAATATGAAAGATAACAGAGCTTGACACACATAAAGATAGTATTTTAATACCAATAAGGTGACTCCCAAAATGTTATGAGCTGAAAATTTGACATGAAGAAAATTGATGAAACATCCCACAAAAGCTGCGTGTTTGTTGGATTATTCTATCTTTTTTATTTTTAAAGCATTGATTTTTAGAGACTATTTTTATTTGTTTTTCAAGCCTAACAGTATTTTGTCCACTTTCCTTATTTTTGATGCACACACTGCATAATAAGCTGTCATGGTTAGCCATAAGTTAAAAAGCAGCAGGTCTAAAGAATAACTTTGAAAGGTTATCAAAATCCAAAAGCTATATTGATCATGGTTAGTTTAAAAATACTGGCAACAAAAAAAGTCTGGCTACTTAGTTGCAAAGTACAGTATAAGGCAAACAGAGTTAGTTGAAACTATTAGCGCTGCTAAACAGTTAATGCCTTTATTATTAAGGCTTTTAGATACATCTTTGACACAGAACTTCAACAACAGCTTTTTTAATTTAGTACCTGAATAAAATGGGGGTAAATGTCGAGACATTTGTTGTTTTGCTAATGATTGTTAGGCTAATTACTTGGTAATTCCGTGCAAACGAGGTCTTTTTTTTTTAACAAGGTCGTTTTTTTAAGTTGTGAATTCGACAATGGATAAAATAAACGACAGCCTCATTGCTATTTAACAGACTTCTGTCTTTTACGGGTACACGCTCACCAAAAAGCATCACATAACTCTAAATTATCCCCCCAAAACTCATACTTACTTAAAGTGAAGAGACTTCACATTAGAAGCATGGTAAGCTAGCGCTGGCTGAAGGGAAACAAGTCGTCATCAACAAGCGCGGTAGTTACAAAGAAGTTTGCTTCAAATTTCAAACGGGTTACACCAAATGGGTGGAGTTAGAAATTTGCCTGTTTCAGTTCCCAAACTGGAACAAACGGGACACGCCAGACTTTAAACCGACTGCACCCAATCGCCCTCTCCGATGGTTTAGATAAACCACGTCATCCTGCGCCATTGTTGACAGGTATGATATCACTAAAGCGGCTCTTTTTCCTAAGAGCTAGCTAACTCGGTCAATTATTTAGGAATAAAATTGTTGTCCAAAACTATTACAGCGATGTTTTGATGTAGCTACGCATCCCGAAAGTGGGATTTTGTGGAACCTAGAGTCGAAGGAGTCTCTTATTGAAGAGGAAGTTTGACAAAACAACGAGGTAATACTAGATAAGCTAGCTAGATGCTAACAGTTGACTCACTGCTAGTTTGAGACAGGTTGTTGTTTAGACTTCAGTTTGCTTATTCCCAATGAGATCTTACTGTTCGCATGGCATTTTGCAAGATGATTAATCTAACTAATCGGTAATGATAACGGTATGTACGTATTGTGTATGTATGCAAGTATTCAAAAGTTGTAAGCAACGAGTTCCTCATTCTCTAAACAAAAACAAACAGCTTATATATTCTACATTTAGGTCAACCTTATCATGTTTTAGAGAACATTAAACATTATTTGACATTTAGTAATTCGACGACTGTGTCCATTTGTTTTTAATTTATTAGTAGAGTAAGAAAAGCATGAGAATGTAGAGTTGGACCCATTTATTTTTCCTTTTTGCTAAAAAACGCAAATACAAGAAAATTCTGAAAAAATACGGTTTAACTTCAATGTTTATCTAAACCATCACTTTAGAATAAGTGTTTGGTGGAGCATTACCGCTGTAAAGAAATATAACGTATTAATAAGGTAAAGTGATGAAATATTTTTACTTTGATACCACTTTTTCTGCACTTGAACAAAAGTGAAGCCAAAATATTATGTCAACTAATATAATATATATATATATATATATATATATATATATATATATAAAATATTATATTATTTGCTAATATAATATGCTGAAAAATTGGCACTTTCACGGCACTATTGTTTCCCAAATATTGCATCAAGGCTAAAGTCAGTGATTAAAAATATCAAATTAGTTTAATTTTTATTTTCCTCTTTTCTTTACTTTGTGTAGTATACAAGTTTTATTTTTTTCTCAAATAATGCAAAGTGTCAAAGTTGTCATCCAGGTGATCATGCCATTTTTTTGTCACAGTTTTTCCTGCATATCTTTGTACTTTGCTGGATGTCTGTCATTCTTAATTGTGTTTTGAGAGGGGAAAAATGCACAGCATAAAAATAAAATGATTACCACACAATAATTTGTTCAGACTTGGCCTGAAAGCTAAAACTTTTATTTGTTTAGCAAATAAAAAAAATTAAGCATCACATGTTTGGAGTATTAATATATATATATATTTTTTTTTTTATTACGCAAAATGCAAAGACAATTTTGAAGCAAAATGTTGTGCAGACACAATGGAGACTAATAAACTTTACACTTACATGCAATTCTTCTCCCGTAAAAATACAAAATGCTGACGTTCTCCCAGTTTCTGTTTGCAAACAAGCTCACTTTCTGCTTTCCACAGAGAACACATGTCGTCTGCTGCAGAGACTGTGGAAAATGCCTCTATCATTTCAGAGAGCACGGCGCATGACGGAAATCGTTTGTGGATAGGCAACATCGACCCCAAAATCACAGAGTGAGTAATTCCACCTCTAGTTTCAAACTTTATTTTGATTCCTCAACATTAAAACAGGGTTCTGTCCTCTTTGTTTATCCACCAGCTCATCAATGCTATATTACAAGTTTTGATTTTATATGTCCTGATGCATGCTTAATAATCCATGTAGAAAAATCTGCTGACTTAACCTTGTTAGATTCAGATTTTATACTTAAACATCAAAGCAATGACCAAAGAGCCCTTTCTTAGATTTTTCACTTCTTTTAAAAGCAAACTAAAATAAATGAATAAATGCTACATGGAAAAAATATCAATATAAAGCTTTACAGTGAATTCAAAACATTAATTTTGTTAGTGAAAAAATATTGGCACTGAAAACAGGCAGGACATGTGGCAACTTGATGTTGATTTTAGCTGTTGCTGAATTAAGTTACTCTAATTAAATTCATGTTGTTAACCTTTTGGCTTTTATTTTTAGCCTGCGTGGTTCTACCTCAAAGAGAAGCAACATATTGTGTGTGCATGTATGATTAATTAACTGTGTGTGTGTGTCATAGGCTGAGACAGAGCAGACAGGCCTGGGTGTGTGAAAGAGAGGCAGTGAGGCGAGGAGACCTGCTCTGCTAAGGAGCAAGCATCATTCCTCACTCACCTGCACTGTTTACTCTCTCTGTGTCAACCTGGAACTGTGTGTGTGTGGGTGTGTGTGTGTATGTGTTTTCAAAACCCAGCTGACGTTTGGGTGGCAGCTTGTGAAGTTGTAGGCATCAGTATGGGAGTCTGTGAACATCATTAGCTTATGTCACCTCATCACATGCGAGTATCTTTCCGCACGTGTGTGTAAAGATACTGATGATATGATTGATATGAACAGTCTAACAAATACTGCGATGGTGCAAAGGTAATTTTTCAAGGTGAGGGGTTTTTGTGCGCCTGTGGGGGCTGCTGGAGAATGTACGGGCCGCAGTTCTGGTGGGCGTCTAGACAGGCGTTTCCTTCCCCTTCCCCTGTTCTGCTCTGCTTCTTTTTAAATAGTCCTCTACCTCACAGTAAGGAGGGGAAAAACAAGAGAAATGCATGTGGCCCCCATTGCTGATTGGGAAGATTAATTAGCTCCAGGACAGAACATGCAGGACCCTCTCTGTTTGTCCCTGTAAACTAAACCCAGCGCTCGGGGAGACCTGAACACGTCTCACTGCTTTAAAGACTTTCAAACCACTGGCAAATAAAGCTTTAAACTTTACAGGTTTTATTTCAGAGAACTAGACAAGTAAAAACATTTTTCTACAAGATCAACATTAATGTGTATATTGGAACTTGGCTTATATGGAACTTGTTTTATTTTCTTTAAGCGTTTTTTTTTTTTTTTTTTTTCCAGCTTCTTTCTGACTGAAGTGCAAGTTCAAATGCTAAAAAAAAAAAAAAAAGCAAAATTGTAACCACTTAAACTAAAGTGATTAATAGTGATCATTTTGTAAGAATGTAATAATCTGGGATTCTATTTTATAGGACTTGTAAATGAGTCCTCGAGGCTCAATGGGATTTACCTGTCTAACTAAAGGTTGAATGAAAAAAATCTGTACCACCATTTTAAACTTGGTTGAAAACCAGCAACGCCCCCTGCATGACAATGGCACGTCACTGAGGCAATTTTCTAGCAGCATAAACCTCAACTTCAAGTTTCCCAACCAAGAATCCAGTACAGTACAGTACCCCAGATCCAAACTTGTTTGCCTGATCCATAGAGACTCCACAACTCAACACCTATCAGATCTCCATTGGTGCAATATTAGTCAGGCGGTTTATATCTTATGCTAGATTTGGTCAGGAAACTTAATTAAATCCTTTTATAGTTTTGCTCTGACTGCTTTTGTTGAAATTTTAGCACTTTCTTTTATTTTAAGTGATTTCCTGTCATACACATTTTGCATAGTTTTGATTTATTACAAGCTGTGTTGCTGGAAAATGGCTAAAAGATTCGTATTTTGGAGAAGGCCTCAGATTTGGAGAAAACCCCATCCTAAACAGAGTACTTAAAAAATATGTATTTCTCAACTTCCACTTTATTCTGTACAAGTAGCAGAAACAAATGTCTTTTTCCAGTTTTCCTTTTAAATCTACAGTAAAGTTGATAAAATGCAAGGTGCTAGTTTTCAGTCATGCACTTGTTTTTATTCTCTCTGTTGAAATGCATTTCTCATAGCTGGAATGACTGTCACACATGACGCCTCATCAGATTTTATTTATTTATTTTCACCTTTTTTGGCAACACCTTACAGAGCAGAGGCAAAGCAGGTGTTACTGGCGCTTTCAGCACATATTCATGTTTTTCTGCTTTTGCCTGCTTGGTAGTAATCCATCACCTTCTTCCTCTTTGTTCCCTCTCTGGACCTCGTGTTACATGTATGGCTTGTAGGCCTGGCGTTTGTCACGAGTTTTATTAATCAACTTAACTTGGATGATAACCATGAGCCTGCATGCTGCTGTTGAAGGTTTTATGAAAGTATGAAGAAACTGCAGAAAGTTGCATTGCCAGAAAGTTTGAACTTGACCCGTGTTCTCTATAAACCTTGTTGAGCTATCTTTTTCTAGATGTGACTCTGATCTCTTTTTCCTTCCTCATCCTTTGCTCCGTAGCTCTCTTATCTTTCTCACCTGGCTTCCCACCTTCTTTTTTCCCTCAGGCTTATCTTCTTCTTCCAACACCTTTCACCTTGCTGTCAACATCCCCTCGCTGAACTTTACTCTCCCTTTGCTTACCTTTCCCTCCCTTTTCCTCCCCACTTATCTCCCCCTCTTCCTCCGGTGGTTTTTACAGCCCCCAGGAGAAGCGGCCCATTGTGGTTCAGCTTGCTAGCATCCAAAAATGTTCTTGGAGTGTGGATAAATGTGGATAAATAGAACTATTACGACATGGTATTTAAAGCATTGTCAACTGGGAAGTGTATTTTTTTAGGGGGGTGGGGGGGAAGAGAAATAACTAAATACAAAATTTGTTTCGGATTTGGTGTCTAGTAATGATGTTAGGAATTTAATGTTGCAAATCTAATAAAATTTTCCAAATTTAAGCAACGTGGGTTCATTTTCTGGTCATTGATTTAGTCAGTTTGTGCATTTGAAGACGGCTTTCAAAGGCTAAATAATTGATCAGATAAATTTCAATACATCATTATTCTAGATAAGGGGATCTAGTGCACGATGGGCCTTGTCCACATGGGAGGCTTTAAGGGTGTTGTCTGGGAAAAGCAGAAATTCTCGCTCTCCTATGGCCCCCCAGGGTGTCGTAGAGAAGTGGAAGACATTAGTACAACCTGTTGCTTAAATCCCCACTTCAGCCTCAGCATCCAGCGTTGAGTCCCCCCCCACACACACATGAATGCATGCTCGCACAGTTACGTCACACATTCATTTTTGTGGCCACATACACAAACCATTTAAGGCTTTAAAAATAACTGGCGTGTAAACAACAAAAGGCTGCAGCTTTTATTCCCCCTGAACAGTTAGACAAGAACCTGAGGTCACTCAGGTCTGCACCGTTACACAAGGTCACAAAACAAAGGAAGTTTTTTTGTGTTTTGCAGTGATCTTTGTGATGATTAGTAGGGCATTTTTCATGCAAGATTGTTCGAGTTGTCCAAAAAGTTCATATGATGAAATACGTTTTAATGTAAAAGTAACTCTGTGTCAGCATCAGCTGTTAAATTGTATGTTTGCCGTGGTGTGTTTGGGTTCTCCAAGGACTCTTAGCGTTATAATCTTAGCTTCTGTGCTTTTCCAAAGTTGAGAGGAAAAACGTTTACAACCTGGTGGAAAATACAGCAAAGTACTGAAAGGTGATGCAAAACACAAATCTTTAAAAAAAATTACAAAAACCACTGTTCAGCGAGTCGTGCAGGCAGTTCATGAGCTGCAAAGTGACCAAGACTGTTTTAAAAAATGTGATAATTGTCAAGTGATAAATGAGAATATTTACAAAATTCTGCAAAGCAACAGACTCATTTTTCCCTCCTCAGTCAGTATTTTTTTATATTTAGATGTTTGATTCTTTTTCCACATAGTGCATCTAACTTTAGTTGTGTGGTTTGTTTTGGTGCATTATTTTTATGCACCGATCTACAATGCTTACTTAAAGAGATGCACAATAAAGCAATCCATGATGGACAGAAAATACGTCGAATATTTCCTGACAAGACTTCTGACTACTGTTGCATTGAATCATCTCTCTAATGACAAAACTTTGTCCTGATTGACCTGAAGTAGTAATGGCACTCATGAGTTAATCTTTTTTCCTCATTATTTTCTCTGAGCATTTTCACCAACTGAAATTCAACCATTTGATTTTCTCTTTCTGGCACATGTACTGCCTGGCCAAAAACACCAAACGTCACCACCTGGATTTAACTAAACAGACGTCAGTCTGTTTGAGAAGGGTCAAATCATTGGCATGCTTCAATGTGAAGGGAACTCAAGGGATTGGGACTGAACAGCTGTGCAGTCTTAAGAAAACCACTGATCAGTGAGGGTAACTGGAAAAAAAGGCTTCAATTTGCTCGGGAGCATAAAGATTGGACTCTGGAGCAATGGAAGAAGGTCATGTGGTCTGATGAGTCCAGATTGACCCTGTTCCAGAGTGATGGGTGCACCAGGGTAAGAAGAGAGGCAGGTGAAGTGATGCACCCATCATGCCTAGTGCCTAATCATCAATGCAAGATGTTGGTGAAAAATTAATGCAACTGGATGGAAATAGATCTTGTGACGTTGCAGAAGCTTATTGAAACAATGAAACAGTGACTGCATGCTGTAATCAAAGCTAAAGGCGGTCCAACAAAATATTAGTGTGTGACCTTTGTTTTTTTTTTTGTTTTTTTGGTGGTGGCAACTTTTTTTGAGCCAGGCATATTGCTATTTCAATACAAGTCTTTTTTTATTTTTTTATTTTATTATTTTATTATTTTATTTTATTTCCCTCTGGGATTAATAAAGTAATTTTTAATTAATTATTTTTTTTATTGTTTTCATTTTCACTAAACAAGCTGTCAAACGAAGTTTATGTAAAAGTTAAATGCCATGTACTATGTAATACTTTCAATGTATGTTTCTCTCGGTACAGATACGATCAGTGTTAGTACGTGTATGTGATTGTTCGTACTGTATTTATGCTTCGTTCTTGAAGTCGTTGGCAGTTAATATTGGCTTCGACAGTCAGCTCAAGTTGCACACAAATGTAAAGTTATCTTTTACTCATAACCATCAAGAAAATGCAGCTTGAACGTTTCTATAAAATGGTTGGTGTCGTAGAACATTACTTGTCTAAAGCCTGAAACAGCAAATACAAATTAACTAAATGAAACATCATTTTTGACAGTTTTTTATGTATTGGTTGTAGCCTTCAAATTAGCTAGTTTCTGTATCTTTTAGATTATATGTTAATATTCCTATGTTTTGAAAAGGCAGGCTACCAAGCACCTTGGGAATGTTGTCCTTGTTTCACACAATCATCTGGCCCCTGGCTGTCTACAGAAACGCTCTCACTGACCCTGAACTCATGGCTCTTTTCTTTACTGTCAAAGAAATAATGTCTTTCCATGACAGCTAGCGGTCACTTACACACACGCGGCACAGCTGCTTCGTGACCACGTCTGTCGTCATATACGTAGTCCCAAAAACTTCCCTGCGCAGTCAGTGGAGGTTGTTTGTGCAAAACTCAGTGCTCAGGGGGGATATGAGGCTTCCTCTGTTTTATTCACTCATTGTCCTGCTACTGTATCCTCAGCATTGTCTCAATAACAGATTTACTGTCCGTGGCCGGCCACGCCAGCTGCTAAAAAGGTGTCAAGGAGACAAAGCTGCCGTTCTCATTAGCCCCACTTGACATATTTATTTTGAGTGGTGGCATAAAAAGCTGCTCATCTGATTCATAGAACAGTTTTATAAGGTTGAAAAACTGTTTGTCGTCTTAGGGAAATGTGATAGAATTTAGCCTGAAATAGATAAAAAGAAAAACGCACCGCGAGTGATCACTTTCAACACTAACGTTTATGTTTCTTTCCTACAATTCTTCACTTGGCAGGTTCCACCTGGTGAAGTTGTTGGAAAAGTTTGGCAAAGTTAAACAGTTTGACTTCCTGTTTCATAAGTCTGGACCTTTGGAGGGGCAGCCACGGGGATACTGCTTTGTCAACTTCAGCACCAGAGAGGTATTTAGACAAAAAAAACTAAACGCATAATGTTTATCTGATCGTTCTCATCAGTTCTTTCCCCCACTGAAACAAAAAGTTCATATTCATAAAATGCACTAAAACCAGATTTGTGTATCCAAACTCTTTGAAATCCATCATTGCTGCCAGTGACATCATTAATATTGAATTAAGCAAAGAGTCAGAACAAAAAAAGGAACAAAGTTGGCCTTTCGCGTGCACTCCTACAGTCAGCATGTGTGTATTTTATCAGAGGAGGTCCATTCTTAGTGTTTGAGACTGACACGTAGTTCAACAAACATGGAGACGTCCACGAGCCGTCAGGACCTCGTGTCTCTGACTGACATGGACCGCATTTCTAAAACGGGACTTTAAAAGGAGCGGGCTCCGCTTCACGGGTTCGTCGGGCAGTATTTGTTTTGGAGTGTGGCTGTAGATCATGATAAGCATCTCGTTTCACAGCTAGTGTCTATCTGTGGGATATGAAGCCCTCCCAACAGGATTAAACAGAGGAAGTTAGTGTTTATCTTTGACGCTCACACGCTTACATCAAGGCACAGCTAGATGAAGAAATTCATTAATGTAATTTGGCATAAAAGCCACTTTACACATTTGATTAGACAAAACTACTTTCCCCACAGAGTTACCATGATCAGATTCACACATTATCGTCTATTATCGTTCCTCCATCTCGGAATTGTGCGGACTAATGATTTAATGACTCGAGTGCAATCAAGTGATATTTAAAGAATTGATCCCTCTTCTTTCTGTCTTTTGCTCCCACTATTGTTGTGTGATGGTCTGCAGGAGGCAGAGAGGGCCATCCAGTGTTTGAACGGGAAGCTGGCTTTGTCCAAGAAGCTTGTGGTGCGCTGGGCTCACGCTCAGGTGAGGGTAAGTGTCAAACTCAGTCCTTTCAGACGCGTGAGCTCACTCAGGTGACTGCGCTCGCAGTGAGAAGTTTAACTAACTCACTCATTCAAACTGATGCTGTCCATCTGGCAATAAATCCATTATTTAGCTTGTTTTAAAAGTAAAGGGAGAAACCAAACTGAGAGGAAATAAAGTCAAATAAAGAGTTTTTGTTGTGGCAAATGACTCAAATCATCATAGTTCAACGTTTTAATCTGTTTACCTTTTGATATCACTGCTGCAGTTTCTTGTTTCCAGAGATCTCCGTACAACCCGTGCCTGTCTCTTAACAATAGACAGCCTACTGACGGAGGGTGAGGGGATATCCTGCATAGAGACGAATCACGCCCTAGAAACACACATACTCACAAAGACGTGGTAGAGGGAGGTGAAGGTCAACAGTGCTGCCTCTTAGACACGCCGTTAGATAAATCTGCTCACGTTGGGGTGAAGCTCACTTCACAAATCCAGCAGCTTGTTGTAGTGCTGCTGTCACAAACATGCAGGTTTAGATGTTCATGCGTCGGATTAATCGTTTAGAAGCATCTGCCATGTAATTTGGGCTGATTTAAGATGACCACAGCTTAGGGACTTTAGCAAGCACAAAAATGACAACAGCTCAGTTGATTTTACAGCTATCGAGCTGAAATGAAGCTGGTTGGCAGCCGAGTCATCCTCACGTGAGATCTCAGGATGAAGAAATGCATTCCTTCAGGAAATGCTGCTCAGTTATTGCACAACGTCTCGTTTAGGTCAATTAAAAATAAAGAGTTGGAGCTATTTTTGTGGCAATGTTTTTGTGCATTCCTCATGCGCTTGCTCGTATTGGTAATTTAATTTTAGATGTAAGGTCTAAACAAAACTCCCGCTTTATTTATCTTCATAAGACGATTCTTTGCTAAGATTGAAATTATGACTGAAACGTCGTTTTTTTTTTTCCTCTTCTTCTTAATCATCTATAGCAGTATCTCCATCCTGTACCAGCCGCTCAGTGTCCCAGCTTTTTGTTAACTTTTTCTTCTCACTAAGATGCTATAAAAGAAAAATTAAGAGATTTCTGAATTATCGCCATCAAAAGCATTTGTATTTCCAAAGCCTTCGTGTAGAAAAAAGATAATAATAACCAACCTAAACGTGGACTCTGCAGCACATTACCTTATTATAAACTATTCTGACTTGTGTGTTTGTGTGAATAGCACTTTGAAAAGTAGTTTGAGCCTGGAGGGATTTCACAGGAGAGGTTTCTGCTCAGACCATAGTGTGGCTTTAGTTTCCGATGACCCACAACTACCCCAATGATAGTGTTTGGTCAAATGTGAAACCACACAAGAGCCAAAGGCTTGTTTTCAAGGGCCGTCCTGGCGCTCCTTCTGCTGGAGAAGGTTCAAGTGGACTGATCTGTGAGACAGTCGTTACTCATAAGCTCCGTAAAGTTTAAGCAGTTTCTCAGCTGAAAGCAAATTGTAAAGGACGTGTTGTTTCCGTTTTCAAACGACCTGAAGGAGCACGATTGAACTAAAATGAAGATTTTAAGCCTCCACAGTCTGTTTTTATTCTTTTTACTCGAGCTGCTTGATGCATTTATGAATTAAAACAATTAGGAATGTCATTGAGATATATTCTTCATAATATTTTTTTAGGGATGCATGATATTGGATTTTTGTCCGATATCCGATATGTTAAAACTTGTTTCGCCGATACCAATACCGATACTTTCCCCCACACCTGTTTACAGAGACTACATGGCTTTCTCTGCTGTGGAATTAAAATACTACATTGTTCTGCATGGTCTTTGTCAATTTGGCCTGCTACCAAATGCAGATGCCAAATTATTCATGACATTTAACCTCTCTAACACAATGACAACACTCGGACAGTGCAAATTTGGGAATTTTCACAAATCTAAACTTAACGGCGCGCATGATGTCATCACGTTGTGCTGGCGCTGCAGGCAGCCTCGTCACTGGGTTGTCGTACAAAAACAGCACCTTTTATATCGGTGAGTTATTTTGATGGAATGGCCGATGTCCATTATTTAACTTTATCGCAAATATCAGCCAATACCGATATCATGCCGATAATATTGTGCATCCCTAATAAATGTATTATTATTGCAGAATGGGTTTTATTAATATTTTAATGACGCTTGCCTCCCCCTCGCTCTGACACCATCTGTGTGCCTGTTCAAAGTTTTTACTTCTGCCACCTAACACAAATGGATGGTGGCAAACATATTTTGTACATTTCAATTCATATTGCTGACTCCTCTCTTGTGCAATATTAAATAGTTGTTAAAAGATCCCGATGACCCAGAGGTTAATCCAAATAACCTAAAACGTTTGGTTTGGACCCCTCCCATTACCCAGGCCTTGGATTGTTTACAGTTCCTTTACCGTCTCTGTGCATTCTAGCTGCATACCTTCAGGAATAGGTGGAAGGGAAGGGTCCTTGCTGGTAGAAAGGTCATTGTTTTACACGTATTCTTGGCTACACATGTCATTTATGTCATTGGACTGCATGTGTGTGCAACATCTTTTCATTCCGTTCCACCAACTGCAGCTTTGCAAGATGTCTGAGCGTTTTATTTTTAATAGAAACTGCTGCATCAAGCACTAAAGCTCGTCGTTCTAGTCATGAAACCGACCTTTTGTTTTTTCTTTTTCTTTTCTTCTCCACAGGTCATGAGAATTCTGTGTTGGCTGGTGGAGATGTTTGGAAGGTGGTTTTGAGAAGAATGAGTGCAGATGTTGATTGTTGCGCATCAGCTGGTCCCACTTTACCCTCCCCCCACCCCACCCCACTCCACCCCATCATGTACGGTGTGACTGTGAGCTGAACTCACTTTGTTACTCTGTTTGACACAAACAGGATCAAGTCAACAGATTAAAGATGCTCGTGTGTCTGGATTGATTTCTGTGTTTTGTTCCTTTTATCTCTTTGTTCAAAAGTGTGAAGAAGGCAGAGTTCACTGGCTGCTTGTTTTTATTGTGAATGTTTTTTTTAAACTGTCTTTAGTATTTTGATTTTCCTTGCTGGTAATTGTTTACAGAAGTTTGAAGGTTTCCGTAATGACAAGGCGATGCCTTCGAGCCTGGAGCCATCTTGTAGTGCATCCGCAGAGGCAGGATCTTTACCGACCAGCCACCTCAGGTTGGTATCACACACACACGTGTGCGCGCATGTTCTTGTAAACATACTTTTTGGGGACTTTGCATTGACTTCCATTCATTTTCTATAGCCTAACCCATCCACAATTCACACCTTAGTCCTAAACCTAACCCCCCAACGAGACTTATCCTTATGGGGACCTGGCTTTTGTCCCCATGAAAAGCAGCTGGTTCCCACAATGCATGCTTTTTTTGTAAAACTGGTCCCTACAAGGTAACCTGAAACAAAACGCGCATACACACACACATATGCTCTTTGTAGGTTTTGTTACTTTTTTTATTCTCCTTAGCTAAGAAAGCTAAATCCATTTTTTTTTAAGCTATTTTTGTGTTTGTTTTCTGTCCCGTCCGACAGGTTCGCACTCAAAGTTTAAACTACCAACATCAAATCCTTGTGCTTCAGCTCTGACACCCGTATTTTTGACTTTGTAAAGCCCAGTTTTTGACGATGTGTTAAAGCATTTTTACTGACCTGAATGCATTTGTTAGTACTCTTCTATAATAGTCAAAAAAAAAATCACAAAGCTCCAGTTTTGTCTCATCAGTCCAATAAATGTAGGAGCTTGTCAACATGCATTTTGGTGAATTCCTGTTCTGTGTTTTGTCTTTTTCTGTCAGTGGTTGAGCCCTCCTGTCTTCTTTCATAAGCTCATTATGATTCAAATGTGACAAAAATGATGGGGTCAGAAAGTGGCATACCTTGTCATTGGAGTTTGACTTGAATGGGTTTGGGTGCGTTTTTTTTCTGCTTTTTATCTACTATCACTATCTGTCAACCTGGGGCTGCATTTCCTCTTGCGTCCCTACAACCCCATGAACTGTATACATTTTAATAATATTGGCAGCTGTGATCAGAGGAACGTGAAGCTGCTTGGAGACGTTCGTGTAACCTTTATCTTTAGGATGTGTTTCTTTAATCTTCTTTCTGATTTTCTCTGACAACTCTCACCTTTGCTTTCTCTTCTTCGTGTTCAGTGTGATGCACACTTAAAAAAGTGGAAAAATCCATAAATAAGTCACTTGGCCATATACGTTTCTTCAAAATTTAACAGGAAAAGCACCTAAAACAATTATTTGATTGCTCGAAATTATTGTAAAAGTGTGTCTCAGTTTAACTTTTACTTAATAAATGCACTTTAATGGTCAAATTAGCTGTATTTCGCCGGGGCGGTGCAGCAAAATGAAGCTGAGAGTCCAAGCAGCAAGCAGAACGAAGGTGGTGTCATATGGCAAGCCGATTGTGTCATTAATAGCTGGTGAAGATTCTCAGTCATCCAGGACATGGTAAATTCAAAAAAAATTCAAGACAAAAACAATAAAGTATAATAAGTCCAGTTGTTTTTGTCTTTAACTTTTTTCATGTTTACCTATTACATGATACAACGGCATGCCTTACTGCTACTACTACTCTGCTGCCATCAAGTGGCTGAAAGTGGTGCTGCTCATGAATTCAGAATGAATGAAAGCAGACTTATAGGCCGAAAAATATGGTATATAATAAATAGACAACCCATTTTAACTGAATCACTTTTCATCATCGTTTCAATGAGCTGTAAAGGTAACACATCAGCACTTGCAACTAGAAACTCATACAAACAAGAAATGGTTTAATGCAATCACAGCGTACTTCAACCTGAAAAGTAAAGAGTGGCCTTTGATTGACAGCGTTTTATATTCACTATGCTTGGAAACAATTTCTTAACCATTGAAATGGAATATAAAGATAATGTTTTCTATTTTTATACATCTTTGTTAATTCTGTTTCTTTTCTATTGTGTGTTGCAGGACAAACTTATTTGGTCCTGCTTTTGTTTCTCTAAATTGAAGCAAATTAGGCCTGCGGTGTGTATTTGTTTCTGTACGACGAAGCTTTAGGGCCATGCTAAGAAAACAAAATTAAAAGCCATAAAATTATGAGAATAAAGTCGTACAAGACTTTTTTGCAGCTCTCGTGTTTTGTTTTGTTTTCCCCACGAGTGGATCCACGATGCAACTTGTCAATCAGTCCAGTAGGCGTGTTAGCAAATGACCAAGCCGAAGCTAAATGAGTAGTAATATTATCCGAACTCCAACACATAAAGCAGGTTTACCGCATTTTAACTGCAGTAAAATGAAGAATGTTGAGCATCTTGTTAAGTTATATTTTGGTATTGGTTTTACAAATAAGGAGATAATTAATCTGTTAGCTCATCAGCATCAGATTATTATCAGTATCAGGACTTTGAACTTGCTCACAGTAAGGTGGTACGCTCTGATGGGCTGCAGCGCAGCTCTGCAGGTAAGGAGCATGTAGCTTCGGATTGGTCATTTGCTGACACGCCTACTGGATTGATTGACAGGTCGCGTCGTGGATCCGACTCGTGGGAACAAAAATAAATAAACGAGAGCTGAGAAAAAAAAAAGTCTCATACAACTTTAATCTCGTAATTTTATGGCTTTAATTTTTTTTTTTCTTAGCGTGGCCCTAAAGCTCCGTCGTATTTCTGCAAGTGTTTCTTAACTTAGTTAGAAAGTTGTCATTCTGAGAGTCAGACCATCATATTTGTTTTGTTTTCTATAAAAACATGTAAATTGTTATTAAGTATAAATGTTAAAACGGTGTCAGCGCCTGAACCCATGAAGCCAAAGGTTTACACGGCTCCTTCAGCACAGACACACACACCTGACCTAAACGTATAATAAGAGAGCTGGTGGACTTTTCATGTCACATCTCAAAATTAGGTTTGTCTGATCTTGACTGGAGTCACTTTAACTCTAGAATTACCTTCTTGTAATTGAAAGCAGGTTTTACGTTATTTCATTATTGCAGCTACATGTACAGCCTTTGCCGCTCTCTGTAAGTAATGTGGCTCGGTTAACGTCAGCGCGTGGTGTTTGTGTGTCAGCACTGACGGGTCCTCTGCAACTGTCAGCTTCTGCGGAACGGCACACTTTGCTTTTAGTGTAAACCTCGACATCTTTCTTCATGCAGCACGAGAGGGAATACACTATGCTTCCCCCCTCCTTCTCTTTCTCTCTCACACACCTACCAATTCCCTCCTCCACCTTTTCTCTCACGAGCACTACACTTTTTCCTGCAATCTTATCTCTCTCCCGTCTCCAAATTTTGTCCGTGCAGCACGATCGTTGATCTCGTGCTTCAGGTTTCCGACAGTTAAGAGTCCATTTCTGTCCTCTCACTCTGCCCATCACTCATTTTACTTCTCTGCTTTTCCCCCTCAGCCTCATTGTTAACGTCTCCCCTCTTTTTTCCCCTCCCTCGTCTCTCCAGCACGAGCGCGAAGATACGAGCCATTGAGGCCAAGCTCCAGATGATGGAGGAGAATCCAGATGATAGCTACTCGGGCCCGTCAGCCTATGTTTATAACAAACCGCCTGAGAGGAAGCGCTGGGAGCCGTACTCCAAGTCGCACCACAGTAACCAGAGCAGGCCCTTCCGCAAGTTTAGGAGATGACCCATCCTTCCTCCGTAATCTGGAGCCCTCCCTGCCCCCATTCACTGCTCCCCGGCCCTCCATCTGCACACAGACAAGTCTCCAACTCGAGACTACGCACACCCTGAATAAGATGCTCAAGTTTGAGGTGAACAACAGCAGGACTGTAACCGTAACAAGGTGAAGACCTGGAAGTGGTTTGGAAGCCACACGGTCAGATTTTCAGTGACTTTGACTGAAGTTACATTTATTTTTCTCTGTCTAATGTGCAGATTTCATGACACAATAACACAATTTACAGTATGTGCTATCAGGACTCTAATGTTTTGTTTTTTACACGTGTCTTTATTTCAGACTGTGTCATCTGAACAATAAATATGTTTCTTTGCTTTTGTTTTGGAGGCTTTACTTTTCAGTTTGACTTTATTTTGAAAATGTATCATTAATTTCAAATAACGAGCGACACAGCAACACTTATTGTTGGCTGCTCATGTGTGTGATTCCTTATTTGTTTTTTCTCCATTTTTTTTTAATCCAGCTTTTATAAAACCCCTTTTCACTGACTTCTGATCTCGTGTGCATATTATTGGCTGCAGCTTTATTTCTGTTAATTTTTTCTTATTAAAGTGAAATATTATTTTTATTATTGCTATTTTTTTTATTTTAAAGGTAAGAATATCTATTTCGATACTTTTTTTTGTTCGTTTTATAAATATGCACATACAAAAATGTGAAACCAGCTCCATGTCGATCACGGGAGTCCGTTTAGAAAATTTCTCTAAGTCTTGCGCCATCGCCATTCATTAAATTAATATTTTCAAAAAGGGTAAAACTTTATAATGGCTGCAATAGGACAGAAAATCCTGATTATTGTTTCCTTTATTTTTCTGCAGACAGATTAAATTGTAATAGTGTTGTTTGCTGGAAATCCCTTTTAAGTTAATTTTTTTTGTAGTACTTAAGTGAATAAAAAAATACTTTTTATTTTTAGCGCAATACTTTTTTGTTTTATATAACTTTTTTCATCCAACATGAATCTGTTCAAACTGTTTTTAGATGGAAAAGGGTTTAAATGTTTTTATCCCGGCATGAAGTTATTATTATTTTTTTATTATCCTGCTCTGCATCAGGGATGGAGACCAGCTGTTATGCAAAACAAAAAGCTTCCTTCTTTGTGTGAATCCTGGACTTGATGCAAACCACTCGATTTATTTGTTAAAATCACAGCATCAAGTTATTTCTGCTCCCCAAGTTTGAAATGTCAAACAAGTGTCTCTGTTATAAAAAAGACAGATTTATTCTCATTTGTAAATAACACTTTTTTGTTTCAACATTTTTTTAAAAAGCTGAATAAAAATGTCAGTTTCTCTTTATTTTAATTGCTCCACAATTCATTTAATTATCTTATTCCTCTTATTTATTTACCTCAAAATAACTGTTTATAAAAATCATTTTGATGGATCACAACTGACTAAATTTGAATTCTAAGTTTTTCAGCTTTGCAAATCTATTTAAAAAAAAAAGCCTTTCTAAAAGGTGCAGCCTTTGAAAATTTTAATTATTATATAATCAAAACACTAGAATAACGAATAACATTAAATATTAATACTGGAACAATGATTATTAACATTTTAAACTTAAAATGAGTAATATGTCAAACAAAAAATATTTTCCACATTTTCTTGCATTCTGGTGCATTTTTGTTTGCATTGCCTTCTTGTTAAACTCCAACTTTAAAATGTCCATTTGATTTATATTTATGTTTTTAAGTGCAAAAAGAAAGTGCAGGCTTCAGTGGTTGTATATTCCCAGTGGTGGGTAAATGGGCCGTATGGATGCACATAAACAAGAACAACTCTGCTTTTGATTCCATCAAAATGTCTGCAGAAAATGTGCAACACTTGAGTGAGGTGTTATCACATCTGTTACAAACTGCGTCCACCCTTCATGTGAAACTCTTCCCTCACCCCCACCCCCATTTTTTCCCTTGAATTATAAGGCAGGTCAGAGAGGCGCGCAAACTTCCACTCCATCTCTGCAGACACACTTTGGTTCTTTCCGTCTCTCCTGAATCCTTGGATTTAAAAAAAAAAAAAAAAGGGCAGCCAACCCTTCGGTTTTATCCACTTCCTGCAGTCAGAGACTCCTGCTCAGAAAGAGGAGAGGAGGTGGTGAGGAGAGAGTGGGGGGGGGCACAGGAAGAAATCTTTCTGCTCTAAATCGAGCTCAGCCGACCCCTCGTCTATACAGAGCTCCGCTTCTGTTCAGCTGCTCAGATCGACGCGCGACTGCAGGAGGAGAAACCCAAACCCGCAAATGGTTCGGATGGTGCGACGCCGATTCTTCCTCTGATCCAGGGAGTTCGGGAGACTCTGAGCAGGCTGCTGGGGTTCATGTACTGGAAAAATGAAGTTTTGTCCCCTCTCTCAGAGGGCAATAAGATTCTGTCGGACGGAATCCCCACAAAGCAGGTACTGACGCTTTGGAGCGCTTGTGCGTAAAAGGCGCATGCAGGCTGGATTTGTGCGCAATTCTATTCCGGGGGTGGCCTTTAAAATATTTATTTTATTTGATGCAGAGATGTTAAACTTATAACGGAACTCACTAATTTAGCTTCTAATTTATATATATATAAAAAAAAATTCCTGCAGATTGTTGTTTTTGTGTGTGATGTCACAAGAACCTCGGCTTGTGTGAGATCAGCTGCTGCGAGGACGCACGCGCCTCTCGGTGATGAATAGCGTGATTTGCGGTCCACGAGCCACTCTCTCCCACTCTCTCGAGCGCTGAAGGGAATTAGATTTTAATTACAGCCATTAAAAATCAAATTTGCACTTCTTTGGGGGTGACCCGTTGCCTTCTTCTGATTGACAGTTGAAATTGACACTCCGGGTCTCTCTTATCCGCGCGCGTTTCAAGCTATTTGTAATTACAGGTAGTTGTCCCCACCACCACCACCACCACACACCCCCTCCACCACCCTGGTGTTCTGGATTGCGAAGATATTACTATTATTCTGAAAGGCATGGGTTAAGGGCAGGGAGAGAGAGAGAGAAGTAAAATCAATCCAAATTGAAATGGCTTCATTAAAATGTGCCTTTTGTTGCGGGGGCCCCTTTCGGTTTATTGTCAGGACCTACTTTATAAACCCCTGAAGAGCCCCTCTTTTCCCCCCCGCTGCGAAAGCCTCCTGAGGAAGATGATATAGTGAGCCCGATGAAGAACAGTCGTTTGTCCTGACCGTTTCTGAACGCTGCTGAGTGGACCCTGAACGCACCACGATGGTGAGCGCTCTGGATCTCCTGGTCACACAGGAATAAATTGTACAAATGGTGCGCGCGTGTGGGCATAAAGAGGAGGCTTTAGTGTGCGTGTGTCACTGAGCTGTGCACCTCTTTGCAGTCTCACTCGGACGGAGAGTCCCAGAGGTCCAACATGGAGCGGGAGGACACCCGCTCGTCCCCCAGCAGCCCGTCCACCCCCTCCGTGTGCTCGCCCACCTCCACCAGCAGCTCGGTGCCGTCCGACGGGAAGAACCTGTGCGCGAGCTGCGGGCTGGAGATCCTGGACAGATATTTACTCAAGGTGAGAACCATCATGTCCTCATATCTGACTTTAAATGAAAAAAAAAAAAAAGTGCGTAATCCACGTTTGTTTAGCTGGAAACAGCCAATATGACTGAAATAATTTGTTATTATATGCACACATTTATTGACAAAAAAAAAGGCTTTGTTTTCATTGAGTGCGTACCTGCATTCTAGAATTGCATATACTGTGCTTGAGTTTAAAACTGATAACATTAAGAAAAACCTTTAATATGTTTGATTTCGTGGTTTAAACCAACAGTTTGCTTTAATGAAAGTCTCGGTTGTTGAGCTTTAAAGATCAAATAAAAAAAAATACAAATATTTGCACACTTAAACTCAACACCATCGAAAAAATAATAATTAACGGAATTGCGGGAAAGACGGACACAATGTGATGTAAATGTTTGAGGAAATGCTTTTAATATTTGACTGTTTTGCAGCGTTTCTCTCACTTAACGCCCTCGTCTTTGTCGCGTGCGCTGCGTGCTTCCAATAAAAAAAAATAAAAAAAAAACCTCGCAGACGCGCACGTGTGTGTTTTTCAGGAAGTGTGAAGATACCGCGGTCCATTATCGGACAGCGCTTTGTTCTCTGCTGCATGTCCGATAATGCGGGGGAAACACGGCAGGAAGCGCTCTGGGTGTTCAGAGCAACAATTAACCTATTCATATCAAATAAAGTCTTTATCCCCAAATAACTAGCTGCGGTGTTAAATTAATTACAGCGTAAAGAAGGAAACCTATATTTTAGTTGTCTCTTTATTCCGAGTTACTTTTGTCTAATACTCTACAATTTCTAAATAGGTGAAATAATTAGATTAAAGAAAATATAAATTAACCGAATAGGCTACCTTATATGTCTTGTGTATAGTATAGCACTCTTTTCTTTAAATGATTTCGTTGTTTAGAAAAAAATGCTTCATTTCTTATAGCATAAATATTTATAAAATACAACAGGACATTAATAAAATAAAATGTTTCTAAAAACATAACCTATATTTTTAACATACACTCACAGATACGTTTATATTTGATAAAAAAAAGTATATTGTTTATCGTCACAAATAATTGTATTTTTGTTTTGGAAAAAATGCTATGCTAATTTTCTTCTTCTACTACTACTTCCGGTTATTAGTAGCGCTTTTAGCTAGTTTTTTTTTTATTTGTTTTTACTATTAAACAATTTATTCTTGCTAGTTGGTGAAAATCTTAATTCAATCAAAAAGTATTTCCTCAAACTAAAGGTTTTTGATATTTCAAATACTTTTAAAGTATATATATATTTGGGTATTTTTTCTTAACTTTTTTTTGCTTCAACAGTTCCATTTAATTGAGTTTTTTTTTATCAATTAATTTTCAATTCATAATTAGCTTAAAAAAGCAAATACCTGTCTTGAATTTATAGCAGTTTATATTAAATGGGATATAAAAAAAAAACATATTGAACGTGAATTTACGATTATTGAAAAGTAGAGCAGCTTTTCAGTTAATCCAAAATTATGAGCCTCTTCTATTAATTTAAATTTTTATTTTTGTTAAAATATCTCGTGACACGGGTAAATCTCGTGTGATGATGAGAACAAGCTCCGAAACGACACAGTCACGCGGACATCATGACTCCCTCGTGTGTTTTCTCGCGTGCGCTTGACACGGTTGGTGTCTCTGTGCAGGTGAACAACTTGATCTGGCACGTGCGCTGTCTGGAGTGCTCGGTGTGCAGGACGTCACTGCGTCAGCACAGCAGCTGCTACATCAAAAACAAGGAGATCTTCTGCAAAATGGATTATTTCAGGTAGGGTAAGTTTTTGGTCGTGGTTTTAAAAGAATACCACCTCCCTTGCTGCCTCCCCCCCCCCCCCCCCCCCCACCCCCCCCCCTCCTCTCCTTTCTCACCTTGTAGACCACTTCATTCTGAAAGGCTTTTTTTTTTTTTTTTCTGGAGCTGAAAGAGTGTATCAAAATAAAAGTTTGAAGAGCTGAAAGATCTAAAGTCTTGTTATGGCTATCAAAAACACCACAAGAGCTTCAACATGAAATGCACCTTTTAAATTGTCGCCTTGTTTTGCAGGTTATAAACAAGTAAATATTTTTGACTACATTTTGTTTGTTTTTAAGCTGTGCATTGCGGTGGCTCAGTTGGTAGAGCTGTTGCCTCTCAGTGAGAAGGTTGCCGGTTCAATTCCCAGCCCGGGACCTTTCTGGGTGGAGTTTGCATGCGTGACTTTTCTCCCCAGAAACATGCATGTTAGGCTGATTGGTAACTCTGAATTGTCCCTATAAGTGTGAGTGAGAGAGTGATGGACTGGAGAGCTGTCTGCCTCTGCTGGATATGAGCACAAGTGACCCCTGAGGCACAGAAAGGAAGAAGCGGGTAAAGATGATGGATGGATGGAAGTTGTGCCATTGAAGTTTGGTTGTTTTGTATTTATGTTGTGGTATAGGTTTAAATGCATTATGTCAGCCTCATGTGTTCCAGTTTAGCCCCCAAAAATGAGAAGTTACCTCCACACACACACAAAACACACACACACACACACACCATTTTACGCACATGGTAGGAGTCGTTATCATTAAATGACTGTGCTGGATGCTGCGATTTGAGCGGGAAGGGAATTCACCAGAAATTCCAGTTCGAATAGGTTTTCATCTGAGTTTAGTCACCCCACCTAATTTAATTCAGTTTAATTATTTTTATGTTTCCCTTTCAGATAAAATAGCTTCAAACAACTTATAGCTTAATAATATTGTTATTATTGTCAGTGAGTGAAATTTTAAATTTGTGTAATTTTTAGTCAATAAACCATTTGTTCAACGTGCAAGAATCATGTAATAATTGTATTTTTTAAATTTTATTTTGCGCACGAGTTTTCTATTCATGCATGTTTGTTTAAAAGGTAATATAAAGACTTGTATCAGTGTATGTGTGTGTGTGTGTGTGTGGTACCTGAGGTTAAGTTGGGTTCACACCACCAACAGCATGGTAATATTGTGTTCAGTGGCCTGGAGGAGGTGTGCAAACACACACGCTCATTTGTGTTTAACTCTGTTGTGTTTGAGAGTGTGTGTGTGTGTGTGTGTTAACTTTGGTGTTTGTCTGATTAAAACCTGACACCAGGCCAGTGCTCTGAGGTTTATAATCACCAGCAATTAGTTGCCCTGCACCCCAGACCCACAGGCCTCCAGACCAGCAATTAGACATCCCCGAGAGTCTGGCCTGTTCCTGACGTGAATGCAACTTTTATTCAAACCGTAACTTTTGCACACAAAGACGTGCAACTGCACACTTTAACTTGGACACACACTGATAATGTTAAATATGAAAATGTGAATCTGAAACATGTATTTATTATTCCACAGTCCACTGACACATATGTTCATTTATGCAGGCAGCTGCCAATCCTCACCTTTGTTTTAATATTTGTACGACTGTTTTCCAATTTAAATGCTCCTTTTGAAATCATCTTATTTGCCTTCAGACCTGAACTTATGACTATTATTCTCTAAACTGCATTACAACCGCCCAAAATTAATATAACACATCTATAAACCTTTTTATGCCTTATTACTGCCATTTGTTTTGAAGATACGTAAATAGACAGTGAACATTCATTTATCTTATCAAAGCACAAATTAGAAACTGCATCTGGTATTTTATATGGTTGTTGTTAGCAAGGTAAAAAAAAAAAAATTAAATTCCTGGTACTGTTTCCAAAGTATCACGTTAGCACGTTTTAATTCTTTATTATAACACAGGAATGTCAAGATCGTTAAAAGTAGCACAAGTTTATCTAAGAGGGAATAAAATGTCTTTTTGCTGAGTGAATGACAAACAAGTCTTGCTATACGATTCTTAAGCATCAGATCTGTTGTATTTTTGGCGTTTGATGACATAATTGTTTATTTATTATTAACCTTCATTTAACCAGTCAAATCCCACTGAGATCACAGTTCTCCTTTGCAAGGGAGGCCTGGACCTGAAGGCAACCTAACATGCATGTGTTTAGTCTGTGGGAGGAAACTGGAGTACCTGGAGAAAACCCACGCAAGCACGAGAAGACCCCACACAGAAAGAGCCGGTATTGAACCCGGGACCTTCTTGCTGTGAGGCAACAGTGCTAACCACTGAGCCGTCGTGCTGCCTGCATGTTTTGTGTTGTGCTGTCAGTTTTGAACATTAGGGGGTAAATTCAGCCATGCCCTTTTCACTTTCTTAAAATTGTTAATTTATTATTCGTTTAAATGTAGAAGTGAGTTGCGAGCTTTGGATGGCTTGAGTTGCATTAACTTTTTTTTTTTTTAAACAGAATGGGTTGAAAGCATTAGGCTCATAAGACGCAAAGCCCTTATATTAAAGGGTTCATCAGACCAGAGCATCACATAAAATAGAATTTGACACGTTTTATCTAGTTAGCAAACACTAAAAACGATACAGATGTTATCAAATGTCTAATAAATGAATTTTACAGTTAGCATGTGCTGCTGTTTGAACTGCAACGTGCATATTTGATCAAGTATTGTTAGAAAACACCTCCTTATCGCAGTGAACGGCCTTCAGAGTCAGGCAGAGATCACAGTGATGCAGCAAGTCTTGGACTCTGCTGCAGGCTTGAGCCTTGCACCGTTCAGTAAATAAAAACTGCAATCTGGGTTTCGAGCAGATTTAAACACCGCTGCGAGTCCAGATCCCCGGGGCTGCTTTCAAACCTCTGGAGATATTTCTTCATCTGTGTCAGCCTCTCATCTGGCTTTGGACTGACAGCTGCTTTAATGGGGCGTAATGGCAGGAAATCAGAGCGGGTTTCCCTCTGTGTTTATGTGTATGTGTGTGCAGCAGAAGGGCGGGGTGGGTACGTCAGCGGGTTTTTTTTTCTTTCTGTCTTGGATTGGAAGGGTAAGGGGCAGGATAGAGCCCCTGCTGTGGCCCTCAAACGAATGTCAGGCCTTGGGGGTTGATCACACACACACATATTTAAAACTGTTTCTTTTATCAGCCTTTGCCCCGTTCCCCCTCCCCCTCTTCGCTTCAGTTTATAGAAATATCATCCACGTCTGTGAGGCCACACAGGAAGTTACATTTCGGCTCTAATCAGGGGCTCCCTGGGACATCGGCGCTGTAACCAGAGTTCGTGCAGGTAGTGAACTTTGCGGGTGAGCCGCATGCTCGTTCAAACGCGCGCGAGCCTGTTTTACGCACGTGCGCTCGCGCGTCGTTTTTAAAAAATTATGATTATTCATCACCTATACCCACTTCTGGTTAACTGATTGGGTTTCCATGGCAACGCAAGCCAGCAGAGGGCACAGACGGAGCGGTTTGGTTTTTGATAGGAAGCGAGTGAATTAAAATCATAATAAGACATCTGTGACACAGTTCGACGTGTTTCAGTAAAAAAAAAAAAAGCAAAATGTTTTATTCATGCAGAAATACAGACAAAAAAAAATAAAGATTCAAAGAGGAGAGAATAAAAATACCAAGGATTTATTTCTGGGCACTCATTGCAAAGTCATGATGGGTGGTAAAAAAAATCACAAAGAAATAAACCAAATATGCACAGTTTTTTCTCATATTGATAGTTAACGTACGTGTCCTTAAATTAAAAAAATCTAAGCATGTTTACCTGCAGAAACAGCCGAAGTGACTGAAAATAGATCAACAATAGTGTCATTTACAGAAGAGCTGTTTGGAATGGACAAGTCAGAAAGTTTTTGATGTATTTATGCTCAGATTTGATGAGTAAAGTCTTTGGATTTTCGACCCATCTAGATTGAATTAGACTTGAAAACAGGATGTATTTCACCTGTTTCTCTAGAAATATATAACAGATGAGACCTTTTGTTTTCAGGCACTCCACACAATGCCGCTTTTCAAATATTTCAGACCGAAATTTGCAGTCGTCAACAGGTTCACTCTCATATTTCATTACACTTGTGCGATTTCTCCATATACGCACCCGCTTCGAATGTTATCAGCCATTAAATGGCCGGTATTAGTTGTTATCATCCCCATAAGTTGCGTTCAGACTGTCCCTCCTCTACCTCCTAGGTTCAAAGGTACGTTCTTATCGCTGATAACAGGGTCAGGGGGTTAGGTTTAGGGTCAGTGCTCTGGGTCAGCTTAGGTTAGGTTTAGGAAAAGAGTTAAATAAAGCTGACCATAACAACCCTGGTTTTAGACGCAGGCGAAGCTGCATATTATCAGCGATAAGAACGTACTTTTAAACCTACTAGGAGGTAGGAGGGACAGTCTGAATGCAACCTATGGGGATGATAACAACTAATAACGGCCATTTAATGGCTGATAACTGTTTACTTACAAAGACTTACAAAGAGCAGCTTAATGTAGATTGATCACATGACTCAAGCTTCTATAAGGTTTTCAGCAGATTCAGCTCAGTGCTTCGTTTACAGTGAGTGTAGTCCCACATGTCAGAAAGGCATGTCGATATATCTGGAAAATTACTCCTTCAAACTGATATAGTTCAAGGTAATCTTTTTTACTTTTTATTTTATAGATTACAATGAGTATTTTAATGCAAACATGATAGATTGATAAAAATCTATGAACTACAAGTCGCTATCCCTTTTTTTCTTCATCTTGGATTCCTCAAATGAAGCTAAACCTTGCACCATGAAACCAAACAAAGCAAGACCTTGTTTAGGTCAGCTCTAATAAAGATTAATTAATTTTCATAGCCCTTCAAAAAAAAAAAATCCAGATAATGTTTACCTCATTTAAAGTTCTCTTTCAGCAGCAGGTGAATTACTATAAAAAATAAAAAAAAACACTAAAAGGGATAAAATAAGGCTAGCATTCAGGGTGAAAGTGAGTTTTGTGGTGTCCCATGATGTAGAGCTGCAAACTGAAGTCAGTCCAACATAAACATCTTTTTTTTTGTTGTACACTACAAGCCAGAAGATCAAGATAGAGGAGTTGGGAGGTTAAAACGAGGGATGATTTGCAGCTTTTCTGGGTTCTGTCTCACAGCATGAAACTGACAAGCTGTCATGCTGGATTAGCCACAATCTTTTCTTCTTCACTGTAAGAATGGGCTGGAATCCTCCAGAGCTATTGGCACTGTAAGCAAGGGCTCGGTTCGTTTCTGGCACTGCTCTTTTGGCTAATACGTTGCATTTTTGTTTAGCTGTAGCTAAATAAAAAAATCAGTTGTTCCCTTTTAAAAAAAAAAAAAGCAAATGTAGTTTATTAAATAGTAATAATAAACTGCAGAAGCAGCTGATCTGTCCTTTCGGTGCATGCATAATGAAACCTGCAGCTCTTAGGAGAGCTTCTGATGTTGGGGTTGTAGTGTGCTTTCATTCCAGACAGAGTGGACTTGAGTGCACTGAGACGCTGCCAAACCCACTCACTTGGCGCTGCAGCCCCGTCCTCCTCTCCCCCCATGGCCACTTCCCTGCAGCTCTAGCTCTTTGCCTCAGTCACTTACCTTCTTCTTGGATGTCTGTGCTCCACTTATTTCCTCCCACCGCTTCCACTTTGAATTTGACTCATGTTTTGGGCTTCATAACAAATAAAAAAAAACAGATGCATGAGTAAAAGCATGCCTCATCGTTTTAGCTGTAAGAAAACAGAAATCTGGTGCAGCATGAGGACTGCTGATGCTTCTCTACACACCCAACCTCCTTCACCAGATCTGGCAGCTGCTGCTGACCTCAACAATGGCTCTTAACCTAATCCTTATTATCTCAAACCTAAAGCACCCATTTAACTTCATCATGTGCTCCATTGTTTTAATTCTTGTGTAAAACAGGGGCTTTGTGTAATATTTTAGATGTCCTAAAGTGGTCATTTATGTGGACACTGTATAATGTCACATTCAGTGATTCTTAAAGGATAAAATCACAGAAACTCATTTTTGAAGGAATTAGTGTACCGTATTTTCCGGCGTATAAGTCGCAGTTTTTTTTTTTCTTGGTGCATAGATTTGTCAGTCCTGTGACTTATATACTTTTTTCCATATTCATACCATAATTTTTTACTGACGCTTTAAATTTCGAAGAACTGCAACAGCGAGTTCTTCCGTGCGCAGTCGCTTCACTCAGCTGGTGCAGGCGGAGGAACGCTGGAGAACTAGCAGCTCCAGCCGTGATGGATGGATGGAAGGATGGCACCACCCTACCCAGGCAAAATGAAGATGTTTTACCATTAAATAAACACATAATAAATGTGACTTATATACTGAAGTGACTTATATGGCACTTATATGGCACTTATATGGCACTTACTCCACTTATATGGCGTTCAAAAATACTCCTGTATGTCTACAAATCGCTGAACAGTTTCGCCCCCCCCCATCTCTCTGATCTGCTACAACTGTATGTCCCACCACATTCCCTGAGGTCAGCCGACCAGTTGCTCCTCACAGTTCCAGGAACTCGTCTTAAGCGCAGAGGTGACAGGGCCTTCTCTGTAGCAGGACCAAGACTTTGGAACGCGTTACCTCTGCTTGTCAGACAGGACCCCTCCCTCTCGGTTTTCAAATCCCGTTTAAAAACTCACTACTATTCAGTAGCTTTCAACACCAGAGGATCTGTGTTTTAAACCTGTATGCTCCACACTGGTTTGTCGTCATATTTATTATCTGCATCGATTTTATGTCTATATTTTTGATTTACTTCATTTTGTATATTGCTTCATGTGTTTGTTGTTCTGTCTGTACAGCACTTTGGTTGGCCTTGTAGCTGTTTTAAGTGCTCTATAAATAAAATGGTATGGTATGGTATATATGTTTTTTTCCTCTTCATTATGCTTTTTTTTTTGACTGATGCGACTTATACTCCGGAGTGACTTACTGTATATGCCAGAAAATACGGTACTTAAATGACCAATAGTCTTTCTACGCTTCTTCTCATTTGTGTTCTAGTTATGGCTATATGGTTCATGGCTTTTAAACACACAGGTATCTTATATTTAGAGATCTTCTCTGTTTCATATGGTGGCCCTGAGGTGTAAATGAACAACATTTGAAAAAATGGAATTACTTTTGAAAAAAAAAAAAAATATATATATATATGTGAAACAAACTGAATTACATTAAGCCAAAGCGGAAGTGGCCGAAGCAGAAGTGGCCAAGGCGGAAGTGGCCGAAATCATATTTGGAATAAACGGAATTGCATTTGAAAAAATGGACTTACATTAAACCAAACTAGAAGTGGTGGGGGCAGGGGGTGTTTTTAGTTTTTTTTTTTTTTTTTACTTTATTACGGTGGCCCTGAGGTAGTTTGGCTTAATGTAATTCCGTTTTTAAAATGTAATTCTGTTTTATTCAAATGCAATTTTGTTTTTTCAAATGTAATTCCATTTTTTCCTAATGTGTTTCTGGCCTCTTCTGCTTTAGCCACTTCTGCTTTAGCCACTTCCGCTTTGGCTCAATGTAATTCCATTCATCCATCCATCCATCTATTATCTTTTACCCGTTTCTTCCATTTTGGGTCACGGGGGTCACCGGTGCCCATGTCCAGCAATCACTGTGCGAGGGGCGGGGTACACCCTGGACGAGTCGCAAGTCTATCACGGGGCCTCAATGTAATTCCATTTCTTTCAAATGTGATTTTGGCCACTTCTGCTTTGGCGTAATGTAATTCAGTTTTTTCAAATGTATTTCTATTTTTTTCAAATGTGATTCCAGCCACTTCAGCTTTGGCCACTTTTGCTTCTGCCACTTCCGCTTTGGCATAATATAATTCCGTTTTTTTCAAATGTAATTCTGTTTTTTCAAATGTTGTTCATTTACACCTCAGGGCCACTGTAGTTTCACCGCATTTGATGACTCTAACGAGTTAATATTCTTTCCCTCGCCCATATCCTTCTCTTACTGTAATTTGCTGGTTATTTATCCTCTTTCCCTCCATGCCCTTCAGCTTCTTGGAGCACCTATCCAGAAGAGAAAAATCTGATGGTTTATGTTGTATCAGTTACAGGTCGGGGATCTAGAATGATGTCAGAGTATTTCCTCATCTCTTACTGTATGTAAAACCGTCCAAGATTATGCGTTGTTTAAAGTTTGTGTGGGTGTGTGTTTGCGTGTGTGTGTCAGGGCCTTCATGGATCAGTCAGGAAATTGCAGGTGTTGGTTTGTTTGCATTCGAGGTTCGGCTTGCAGCCGCATGCCAGAGTCTTTTTCTGAAAGCTTCATCCTCCGAGGTTTCTTCTTGAAGACTTTGAAATATGCCAGAAGTTTCAAAACACACGCTGCAAACCTTGTTTTTACTCAAAACACGAGATAGTAAAAGAAGTTAGTGTGCATATTTTACCTTTTTTCTTAGTTTGAAAATACAGTAATGTATTTAATTGCCCAAATTTGGTGACATTGTTTAACAGTTTGAGCTTTATTGAATGTGATATCTGCTATAATTTAAAAACTTTTTTTTTCCTTTAGCAAATACTGCTTTTAGCCTTCATCTCTCATTCTGTTTCCATCTCTTTCTCTTCCTGTGCTGTTCTCCTTTTCTCTCCCTCACAGTAGGTTTGGTACTAAGTGTGCCCGATGCGGGCGGCAGATTTACGCCAGCGACTGGGTGCGCCGTGCGAGGGGAAATGCCTACCACTTGGCCTGCTTTGCATGCTACTCATGCAAGAGGCAGCTGTCCACGGGAGAGGAGTTCGGGTTGGTGGAGGAGAAGGTCTTGTGTCGGATCCATTACGACACCATGGTGGAGAACCTCAAACGGGCAGCTGAGAGCGGTGAGCGACACAACTCCAGATGTTCGCTCAAGACGAGAGTCACTTTAGAAGACAAGATTCAACCAGAGCTTGTGTTTGAATCCGTACATTGGCGTTTTGGTTTATATTGATATTTAGATTGATGTCATCCATTAGATATGGTTTTTGAAAAAATAATGAGTTTGATGTCCACAAAATTAGTGACTGCTGAGCTAAAGGAGCTTAAATCTTCATTCTACTTAGTTAAAGCAACAACTATCTAAGCCCTAAAGTTATAAATATTTTTGCCTCAGGATCTAAAGTCAGCTGTGATTAGTACACTATTTCCAGCCTTTAATTAACAGTAAACAAACAAGCAAAAGAACATAATGAAATTGTAATGTATATATATATATATATATGTATGTATATATATATATATATATATATATATAT